AATCTGTAAGAGATTGATGAGTCACCAGAGATACCGGTGAATTCAAATTAACATTTTCTCCTTCCGGGGAAATAATCCCTTCGATTTGGGATACGTCCGGATTGTAGAGCGTTCCCGCTATTCCAGCGAACATTTTCTGCAAATATGTCGAAACCAGGGGAATATTGGTTGAGTTTCCGACAATCTCAAGCAGCTCCTCATTGCCAATAAAATAAAATCGAGGAAAAATGTCCCTTTGCTTCTCTAAATATCCTATCAAGGATTTCTTAATTTTCTCGAGAGTTTCAGAGATCTTAGTCAGAATCTGCTTCACGTTCGGGATGTTGATCACCTCAGCCACAAGCACTGATTTGTATACTTTCTTCATTAGCGAATGGAACTCAGAAGACGTATTATAGAATCTGTTTGACTCCAACGGTAGCAGCTTTCTTATTTCATCGTTCTTCTCAAACACACCAGACAAATATATCCATTGACGCTGTACGTCAATCCACATATCCAATACACATTGCACATTGGACAGCTTCTCCTCTAACTGGTTGATTGTCTTCTCAAATGCGGAATAGTACGGCGACATCTTCGTTGACCACAAGGCATTGAGATCCTCTGTAATGGTCTGAAACAAATCGTCCCAGCCTTTGATTAGTCTGAACTCGTCATTGAACTGGAACAACTGGAAAGAAAGCTGATCCCAGGTTTTCTGAATTTTATTGATGGACTTCTCCAAGCTCTTTTCTCCTAGGGCCTTGTGTATCGCTGATTTGAAGTATTTCTCATTTGCAACAAGATCTAGATCCAGGACGTGGCCTAGAGTCATATTGGCTGGTGGCTCTTTGAGAGTGTGATCACGAAATATCTCAATCCAGTGACGGTCATTGATCGCATCTGACCGTAGCCCTCCAATAATCGGCAGGACCTTGATGTAAGTCTTGAGTTTTGTTTGAAACTCTTCAAAAGCAGAATACTGTCTGATGGTGGCCGGCTGGGCCCTAGAACGGGCTAGAATGTCCTCTAGGGTCTTCCGAAGAGATGTGATGGTAACAGAGGACCATTCCTGGGAGCGCAATTCTGTTAAAGAAGCTTGTAACTCGTTGATGATCGACCAGAACCTTCTCAGGTCCTCGATTTCTCCCAGAATCGCTGATAAGTTATCTTTTATGAGCAGTTGGACATCGAGAACTTTAGATGCGTTCAAAAGCTTTGACCGTTCCTTCACCAGTCTCAGACACGCATTTTCAAACCGGCTTAAGGACGAAAGAGCCACTTCAGGCTCAAGTTTCTTGCCCAGTGGTTTGTCATTGCTCCATTGTTTATTCAGGGAGTCAATGGATTCCTTGAGCATGCCGGCTTCTTTTTCCACTGTGCTGACAACGAGAGCCATGTTGGATAGGATTAACTCGATTTTTGCATCTACCAAGGTGCTTAGTGCAAAAAATGCTCTTTGAAGCTTCTCAAAATGAACCCAGTCCTCCCCGAACTTGACGCGGAAGAGGATCAACAGATGGTTGCAAGACTCTAGCGTCTGAATTTTGATGGAAGTCTCCTGAACATAGTTCTTTGCCTGGTAGAGAAGGTCCACTAGAGCTATGACGGCTTTCGCGGAGCCAAAATCTACTGGCGCTGTTTCAATGGCCCTCCGTTGGGTTTTAACTTCTTCAAGAGTGCAGTTGATCTCTTTTGAGACTAGACGCGTAAGAATATCCAAAATGTTACGCTGCCAGGTGTTGTAGTAAGTGCTTACTTTCGACTGAGCCTGCTTGTACTCCAGTTTAATCGGCCCAAAACTGGTGAACGTCTCCACTGTGTCGAAAGCTTCCTTGAGATGTTTCACGTCAAGAAGCGCATCCCGCCATTGTGATAGATTGGTGCCAAATGCTCTTTTCAAGTCTTCAAGCTCAATGCCCCACAGCGATTGCAGTTGAAGCCATTTATCCACCAAATTTCTGGCCGAATCCATAACTTGTCCAAGCTCTTCAACGCATTCAAAATAGGGCTTTTGAAACAGATTCTGAAGATTAGAGAACATCTTAGGGTGGTCCTCAACAGAGACGTCAAACTGGCCAGAGGTTAATCGGTGTTGGCTGGTAACAGTATTTAAGCATTTGTTGAGATCTGCAACAATTGACATCTCGGAAATTTCCAGCGGAGGACGAACAGACAGCTTAAAGTCCTGCATGACTATTGTATGGATTTTATCAGGAATGTCTCTCTCAATGCCACCTAATCTTCCTCTCCAGATGGCTAGCTCGGACTTGCATCTATTAAAAAGAATATCCTCTACGGCGAGGTTCATAGCATTGGTAAACTCCTCAATATTCGTAAATCCTTGTAAGGCGAATTTGTTGACTTCTCGTTGCAACGTGTCGATAATGCGACAGAACTCCTCCGCGGAATATCTGCAGGTCGTCAAATCATTGAGAGCGGCTTTTATCTGCTCTCTTGAAGACTCCAAAAACTCAAACTTTTGCAGAAGAGCCTGAATCTGATACTGAAACTTCTCTGCTTCCTCGCATACTTTCACTTCATCGAGATTCGTTAAACCCGATTCAATTAACACTTGAGCATTCTCTAGCGCGATCCACTCTGACTGTGCAAGAAACGTAATGCCTCTGAAAATCGTGTCTAGGTAAGGCTGTAGCAAAACTTTGAGCTCGCCCAATTGATCGACCTGTTGTAAAATAGACTCTAGATTGATCAGCGAATTGTTGAGACTAGTTGCAATGGGGTATATGGTCTCCAAAGTATGGGCAAGAGAAGCAACATTACGGGGTATTTCAAACCCCATGATTTGGAGCAAGTTGACCTCCTTGAACAGTTCTGCATCAGCGGGTGACAAGTTGACCTTGACCGTAAATTCCTTGGACTCTGTGCGCTCTATCTTAAGCATATATCGTCTCAGGGTCGTATCTCTAACATTTTGCTTGAAAGAGGTCAGCCAATCGCGGTAGCACTTATCCAGGTCCAGTTTCTCCATAAGCAACCTCAGTTCATTCTCGATTTTTGCACCTTCAGGATACCTTGCCCAGTCTTTCGTCATAACCAGCTCCATACGCGTAATTAAAAACTCGATCTTGTATCTCGCTTGGCTGATCCAGGCGATCATGCTGCTGAAGCGCGGAATGTCTCGAAGCTGAAGTATTTTCTGTGTGCTTTTCTGTCGTTCAAACTCCTGCTGAAGCGAAATCAGGTCATCCTGAATCACCTGCAATAGCTCATGCTGGTGGTCGAATATCGAAGCTCTGATGTTGGGCCGCTTGAGCAAAAATGAGTACTGCTCAAATACCGTAAAGGTCTCGTTTGGAGACGAAATCGCCTGAAGTGTTTGGCGCAGAAATTCAATCAGCTTGTCTTCAAGCGCATTCACTCTCTTCTGGTACGTCCTCTCTGCTTGTGTCCATGCTCTCTGGCCTTCTGTTCCTATGTCTAGGGGGTTGGCAGTCTCCACGGCACTATAAGCATGGTCAAGCTCTTCCAGATATGCAGTCACCTTGGTGGCTTTAACCAGATTTAAAACTATTTCTTTCAATTCTTCGTGTTGGGACCTAAACTCGGCAGCTTTCGAGACGGCTTTTTTCAGCTCATCTGGGACCACGATCCTTACAGCTATGAACTTGTCTGACCTCTTTCGAAGTAATTCACGAGCCATCGTGGTGAAGTCCTTAGTGTACTCATCCAGGTTTTCTAGCAAATCGTCCACCTGATCGCTTATAACCTTGAAATCAGCATACGCTAGCTCCATCACCTTTACATCGTGTAAAATGCCGGTTATTCTAAGCATGATGTCCTCAACGATGGTCTGACAGAGCTCAATTGCTCGTTGGATCGGATACATGGTCACCCGGAGTTTGCGAAGGTGCTCAAAGATGGAAGAAACAGCCTCGGCAACTTTGTCCAGCGATTGAGCGGACAAGAGATCGTTGATGGGGAGGTCCTTGAGCAGCTGGTTGTATTTGGCGGCCACATTTAGTGCGTCCTTGATACCAGTGTCGGAAAATGTCACCGTGGCGTGGTACCTCTTTGCAGAGCGTAAAACGTCGAGCGTAAGCTGAATCTCTGGGCTTTTGAGCTGTTCCTGAATAGACAACAGCGCTGTCTCCTTAGAGGCCCAGAAATTCACCTCCGTAAGCGTGGGCCCGTCGGAAGGTTCATGGCTCAGCTGGGCCACGTTCTGGACTTGTTTGACCCAGTCGTTCACGATCGACTGCATCTCGTTCAAAATCTTGGAGTCTGTTTTAGTGTGTTCGTCGATAACGTCAATGGAAAGAGCGGCGAGATGCTGGTTTTGCCGCACAGCACCTAAGATCGCAGGATGCGCGGTGGTGGCAAGGTTCGGGATCTGGATCGTCTGCTGCAGATGCTGGAACGAAAGTGCAAGCTCGGAGATCTTTTTCTGCGTAGAAGCCACGGACTGCGAGGTGGCAAATGAAGTGAGCGCCGAAAAGTATGGCGAAATGCCAAACTGCAACAGCAACTCCAGATACTCAAAATTCTGTCGCGGCGAAGACCTCAATGGAAGCTTGGCCACGAAGATCTGGTCTGTGCACGGGACGCTGTCGAGCAGCGGGCCCCTCTGTTTGAGAAATATCACGATGGAGGCCGACTGGGCAAGATCTGCCAGCTTCTCTGTCTCCAGTCGCTCATATAAGCGTAATTCTAGAAGTTAGAGCGCGCAAAATGGTACTTACCGTGCATTCCAGTTTGAACAAGGAAAAGGGCACTTTCGCTGGGGTTTTGGATAAATTGGGCCAGCAGGAGGTTGTAGTCTCCATCCAGACTGGCCGTACCAAGCAACGAGGCCGCCGACCGATGAATATAGTCGAGAACGGTGGCGGGGAGAAGCAAAGACATGTGCGGGAGAGATTTGTTTATTTGTTGATCTGAAACGCGACTTCACCGCCACAAAGCAGGAGTGCACCGCCACAGAGGAATAATATTCAGATTAATACTACAAAATTCAAAAACGGTATATTGTATTGTATCCATCATGCTAATGACACTTAGATCACAAAACTGAACATCCTAAATAGAACAAAATATTAGTTATTAGGCTGTCGTGGGCACGAAGGAAGCAAGATATCAATAATGGGGAGCAGTCCTCTATTAACCCATTCAAGTGCTGGCTCAGTTGGACTTCTCGTGCTGAGTAGAGACTCTGTTCATGGCAACCATGAAGTCCTCAAGGGTTCTTTGAGGAGGTCTCTCCTTCAGTGGCTTGCCGTTCATGAATCTGTCGAACTTCTCAGATTCAGACATGATAACGTAGGCACCACCAAGGACACAGAAGACACCGAACGACCAGATCCACACTCTGACAACAGTGACGATGTCGTTCCAGTTCTGAGACCACCATCCGAACAGGGTGAACATGGTGGCAATGATATCGACAATCAAGACGGCACCAGACAGTTGCCACGATGGAATGGAGGACCAGAATGGACCGGTGGCTCTGGTAACGAAAATCAGCCAGTTCTCAGTCAGGGAGATTTGCAAGAACAGGACACCGTCGATGGAACCGAAGTTCTGAATGATACCTCCCTTTGGCAGGAACATGGTAGTCAAGGTGATCCATGTACCGACGGCAAGGATGACACCCATGACGATGGACATACCCCATAATCTTGGCAGGTTCCACTTGACTGGCTTCTGGTCGAATGGAGCGTTATCGTAAGCAATGGCAAGAGTAGCAACGTCGGCAAAGATGGCAATGAAGACAACCAAGTCGATGTTCAAAGACTCGTTCAGAATGGCAATCCACAGACCAAGGAAGATCTCCAAGTGCAAAGACAGAGCAATACGGTAGACAACGTAGGCGTACATTCTGTGGAAAATCTGTCTGGAAGTCTTCAAGGCGTCAATGATGGCAGAAAGACCTGGAGCAAGGAAAACGATATCGGCAGCAGATCTGGCAGAGTCCGAGGCACCTTCGACGGCAATACCAGTGTCGGCCTTCTTAAGAGATGGGGCGTCGTTGACACCGTCACCAGTCATGGCAACCAAGTAACCTCTCTTTTGCAGAATCTCAACGACATTGTACTTGTGTTGAGGGAAGACCTCAGCGAAACCGTCAGCGTTCTCAACAAAGTCAAACAGCTCGGATCCAGACAAGTCTCCTCCTCCGGAAAGTCCCAATCTGTCGGCATCGAAAATGTTGGTACCAAGACCCAACTGTCTGCAGGTCTCCTTGGCAATACCAACAGCGTCACCAGTAAGCATCTTGACTCTCAAACCGAGCTCCTTAGCCTCGTTAACAGTCTTAGCAGTGTCATCTCTAGGAGGGTCCATACATGGCATGATACCGAGAATCTCCCAGTGGCCCTCACCTCTCTTTCTGGCAACACCCAGAGATCTGAAACCTCTGGAAGCAAACTCGGCAACCTTGTTTTCGTACTTCTCGAGAATGTCCTCTGGGATAGGGTGGTCTTCCTGGACGGTCTTCAGAACGAACAATGGAGCACCTTTGACACAGATGATTCTCTCACCTTCTGGGGACTCGACGTATGCAGTGACTTTCTTGGAAACTGGGTCGAATGGCTGGAACTCGAGCATCTTGTACTTGGTCAAAGCGGCTCTGGCTCTTGGGTAGTTGATCAGGGATTTGAGGAAGGCCTTGTCGATGGCATCAAGACCCTTCTTCTTTCTGGAAGCAGCAAGACAGGCAGTAAGCATCAAGTCATCTGGCTCAACGCCCTCGACGGTGTAAGGCTCGTGCAGAGAAAGCTTGTTCTTGGTCAAGGTACCGGTCTTGTCGGAACACAGGATCTCGACACCGGCAAGAGACTCGATAGCAGACAGTTTTTGGACAATGGCCTGCTTCTTGGCCAAGTAAGCAGCACCGACGGCCATGGTAGTGGTGACGACGGCTGGAAGACCGACTGGCACACCAACAATGGTGATGGCAAGGGTGTATCTGAGGATTCTGACGATCTTTGCGGTTCTGTAGAAGGCAGAAGTCCAGACAACCAACAGAGTGACAATGACCAAGACGAGCAAGGCGGTACCGATACCGTTCAGCACCTCGGTGAAGTGACCTTGACCACCAGAGGCCTTGTTGACCAGAGCAGCAGCTCTACCAACGAAGGTGGAATCACCGGTGGCAGTAACAATCATCAAAGCCTCACCTCTCTTGACAGTGGAAGAAGAGAAGGTTGGGTCTCCAGATCTCTTGTCGACGGCCAGAGACTCACCGGTAAGGGCGGACTGGTCAACTTGCAAGAAACACTCATCCGAAACAAGCTTACCGTCGGCAGGAATGACAACACCGTCTTCCAGCTGCAAAATGTCACCTGGAACAACCTCAGAAGCAGCAATTTCAACCGGGTGGCCATCTCTGATGACGGTGGCAGTGTTTGCCAGCGTCTTCTTCAACTCGTCGACAATAGAACCGGCCTGGTACTCCTGGATGAAACCGACACAGGCGTTCAACATCAGCAAACCACAGATAACACCGAAATCGACCCAGTCCTCGAGACCGGCAGCCAGAATGGCAGCAGCCTCCATGACGAACTGGATAGGACCGATAAAGAACATACAGAACTTGAGCACGAGGTTCTCCTTTTCCTCGGCCATCTGGTTAGGACCAAACTTCTTTCTTCTTTTGGCAACCTCCTCGGAGGTCAAACCAACCTTTGGGTCGGTTCTCAGCAGCTCCTCGGGAACGACTTTGAAGGAAGAGTGGTCCTGCACCTCGTCCTCCTCATCGCCGTCGTCGGCACCGTGGTTGGATTGCAATTCCATCACCAATTGGTCGATGTCCTCTTCCTCTTCATCATCTTCCTGAAGAGGGACTTTCTCCTTGGTTGGTTCAGTTGCAGACATGATGAGTCTCTATTCTAGCAATTGAACTGAAAGAAAAAAAGAATATAAAGTTGGATGGAGAAAAACGAAGGAAAGATACTGCATTTTTAAGAGGTGGATGCAAATTATGCACCTTGCAACGAGCGACTTTGTTTGTCCAAATTCAGTAAACAACAATCGGTACCAAAAGGGTAAAAAAGAAACACAAACCACAATTAAGTTTCCGACCAACGAGTTATTTAGCTGTATTTTCACTGGTCGATATCGTTAACAAAACCGATTTCTATTGTTTTCCAGCAACGGAATATCCGGGAAGACGTAATTTGCGTGAAAATTGGACACCGGGACATTGCCGATACTGGCTCGACCGTGCCGAGCAAACCGCTGCACACTCAATCTAGCCGTGAGCTCCTCCATCTGACCCGGTTATCTGGATGCTGCTTTCGCGGAGACGTTTTATTAAGTGTATCTTACCCGCCTTTTCTACGCTATCGTTTCTTTCTGTACGCTATTGTTTACCTTTTTGCAATCCAGGGGAAAGTCGCAGGACCCAGACAGGGACAGCTCAAACTCGGGAAAATGCGAAGCCAGAATCTAGAACTGGCTTCTGTCCATGTACTGTTCCTGGAGATCCGCCCTCACCCGTCAACGCCAAATGGCCTCTTTGCAACTCATCCCCAGCTTCTACAACTACGTAATTGCCAAGAGCATATTTTCTGCACCGGTTTCGGACCAAGACCGGTTATATGCGAAATCATAACTTTTGAGGTTTTTTCGGCCAGGTTTTTTTTCACTCAACTTGCCAAAACCGAGCCGATCTTTCCAGCCATTTATTCATTCCGCATCCACCGCCTAAAAATGCCTGTGTTCTGTTTTTAGACCGCATTGTTCCCTATTGGGAAACTTGCTTACCCAAATAAGATACCCCGGATCACGACAGTCTTGTTGTCATGGCCCTCAGTACTGTACCTTTTGATGCCCCATGTGACATAGACCCTCTCGGAGACTTGCCTTGCGTGTATCCAGGGTGGTCCTGTTTCATAGCACTAATTAGGTAAATTTGGTGATTACTACTCCTGACTGCACTGCACCGAGGCCAGCTAATAATTCTGCATTTTTAATTACAGATAACGATCCTCACTATTCATACAGTTCCATTTATCCTCCTATAACCGAAAACTTATAACCCAAACTCGCCGCTGGTTTACTCCGTCCACTCCTCGTCGCTGTCGCTCGACAGGATCCTCGACCGATGCCGCGTGTTCGCAGGTCGATAGTACTCATCACCGTCGTCTATGTCGCTGGGCACGCTATCTGCGTCCCTGAGGTCGCGTTCAAAGTCGTAGTCAACGTAATCGTCGTCGAAATCGTCCTCCTCCTCTTCTCCAGGAGAGGGAGCATTAATAAATAGTCGAAGAGCCTCCCGTTGCCGCCAGGCGTCCGCAAGCTCAGGGCTTTCGCGCTCGAGCAGAGAAATAAAACTCTCTTCGCCGTACGAGGCCGACTCGTCGTGGTACTCCGGATCATCCTCACTGTCCGAGGACGAAAATCTCTCGTTGGTAGCTGCAAGAAGGCGTCGCCCGCAATTCAGACATCGAGAGCCGTGAGCTTCCCAGTGGCAGACACTGCAACGTGGAATGCCATCGCTGGTATCCAGAACGGCCTCCGAATAGTTGTCAAACAGATTTTTGAAACAGGTATCGTTGTGGTTATCTTTCTCGTATAACTTGTTGCGCTCGCGTATCATCTTGGTTATGGGCTCTTTTTGGTCGGGATGGTCCTTCGCCACCGCCTCCAGATAACTTTCCAGCAACTGTTTCATCGGCACATTAAACACAGGAACACGCCTCACACGCTGGCGACACAACGGACACGAGTGCTTCACCTTGAGCCAGTCCGACAGGCACTCGTAACAAAACGTGTGCCCACAAGTGACCGTGAACGGAGTCACCATCAATTCCTGACAGATGGTACAAGTAAAGACCTCGACACTGCGTCGCATCAAGTCCTTCTTGTTCTCATCCCCCAAGGATTGCAATAACTTGAGCACTTCCATCGATGTGGATCATAAAAAATTATTTTGTGTTTTAGAAATTTAGTCGATTTGTCTATCTTTATACAATTTCCCTCCAGCGGGCCATTTTCTTTAGATACTGGTCCAAATTTTGCATATGCTGTGCGCTGATGTGGTCGTACTGGTTTTGTAGCACTTTGATCGTGTGCTCGAGATATATAACAAGGTTCTCTCTGATCTCGTCGCTGTCTTGCACGTCCAGGTTATGGGCGTATAACTCACAGATAGATTTCGTGTTGCGCATGAAAATCTCCGTAGGGTAGAACGTCTTCTCCTTCTTGACCTGCTCTAGTATATCGATCGCAAGGTCCAGACGCCCTAGCTCAAGGTAAAACTTGATTATGGCGTACACAGCCCTGAGAAGTTCGGTGTTGCTGCGCGGCGAGACCTCTGCCATTCTGTCCAAAACTACCATGCCAAACTCATGGTTATGGAACTTGACGGCATCCAGAAGCATGTTCGTGTAGTCTGAAACGGACAGAGAGTCGCGATGTTCCTCCACAATCGACGAGAGGAACTTGAAGGTGCCAAGACGAAATTTCGGATTGAGGGTCTTGCGTTTGAGAAAAACCAGCATTTTGAGCGATGGTTCGTTCAAGTCCGCGATTTTCGGGTTGCTGCGAATAAAGTCCACCAGCTCCTCAACTTCTTCGATGGATCGAGACGTCTTCATTGCCGTCACCAAGATTCCTTTGTGCGGCCAGATCCCACTGCGCATCCGGCTGTCGATCGCCTTCATCCGCGGCAGCACGGGTCCTGCCTTGTCCCCAACTATACTCCTGCGCAACAAACGGTGCTTGCCTGTTTTTTCGTCGAGCGTGATCACGTGAGCAAGCCGTTGAAGCGAAAAGTTATCGCTGCTCTCGATTTCCTGCACCAGTCTCCGAGTTATAGGTGTACGGATCATCGGGTATGCTGCAACGTAAGTCTTCCACAGGTTATAGACAAAATCTTCCTGGAATTCCAAGCCGGTTTCTTTGGCTATCTTCAGCACAAGTTCTGCATACACCTCGGGCTGTCCGTCGCGCTGGATCCACCATAAAACTCTGCGCAGCAGAATTTTGAACTCTGCGTCCGTGGCAGCGTCCTCGAGCACTCTTCTGGCCAGCGACACCTCTCCAACTCTCATGAACATGTCTATGCACTCGAGACGGTAACACTCACATTCCTCGGGCTCTAATCGCTCAACCCATTCCGGATAAAGAGTGGAGATGTACTGCTGGGCCTCTCGACTCGTTTCAATTTCGTCCAGCTCGTCGACGAACCATACCTTGTGACTTTTAGTGTCTTCGAGATGCTGTATAACCCATTTTTCCTGTTCTCGTGTACCGTGGCGCATCAGTATCTTGTATATTAGGACTCGCGTGCGAAAGTGGATACTATGGCCTCGGGAGAGCCATAACCGGTACGCCATATAGCAGAGTGACGGATTGGACGTGATTTGCTGCAGGTCCTTCAGGTACGAGTCCAAAACATCTGCGGCCAATTTTCTGCATGACATAACTGTCTGATTAAATATCTGTGTGGCCACGCTCACGTTTTCTGTACGCAGATACACACGTAGAGCTAGCCGGAAAGCATCGGGATCGGGGTCGTCAACGCGACTGAGGTAAATGCTGAATATACGTTCAAACTCTCTGTAGTCGAAGTTCATGTAGAGGACGAGAAGCAGGCGTTCGAGAAATGCAGTGCTTAGGCCTGCGTAGTCAAAAATGTTGCCAAATCTCCGTGCCATTTTGTAGATAAAGGTGTAGTTGTCGGACATAATGAGCAGCTGTTCGAACTCAAACGGCGCAAGAGAGACCGACTCGAGTCTGCGGTATAGCTCGGCGTATTTCTTGGTTCTGAAAAGCTCTGCCATATCCGGAGGTAAAAAAGCGGGGGTAGGCCTTTCGGGATGCGTATCGCGGGGCTTACGTTCGTACTTACCCTCCAGTAATGCGCCCATGGGTCGTCTGCTGATGTTTAATAATTTTGATAAATCTGGACGCTCGCTCTGCGGCACTTTTTCTGGCTCCTGTGGTATATCGTTAGCTAATTCCTGGTTTTGTGACTGTGGGTCAACTGGCGCAAGTTCTTTATATACATCGCTCCTAATGTGCTGTTCGTGTCGATCGTCGTGGTCATGTGGGATATTCTTGAGCCTTAGCCCGGGGCCTGATCCAAAAACACCCCCTCGGTTTATATTGGTAACCGGTTTGTCGCGTTCTAGCTGGCCCCAGTCAATCTCTACTCGCATGGACAAGACCCGCAAGTATATTCGCCCCGGCGAGGTCAGCAGAATGCGCGCGTTTTGAAGCCTCTGCATCGCAGAGTTGTATATGCAGCGAGCTGGAAGGATAAAATAAGTCGATTTTGGAAAAAAATCCAGAGAACAATCTTGAAAAATTATTAAAATAAAATAATTTCTTTACAATTTACTGGATAAATTTATGTGGACTGCTTTTGTCTGGCTGAATGCTGCCAAGCCGGCTTCTCCAAGCTCGCGGCCGATTCCCGACATCTTGTATCCACCAAATGGCATACGGTAGTCTGCTGCGAACGTGTAGTTGACAAACACCTGGCCGCTCTGCACCTCGCGGATATACTTCTGAGACCGATTGATGTCTTGAGTGAACAGGTAGGCAGCCAGGCCGTAGGACGAATCGTTTGATAGCTCAATGGCCTCCTCATCCGTGTTAAATTTGGACACCGTGACGACGGGGCCGAAAATTTCTTCTTGAACGACTCTCATGGATTGGGAACAGTCGGCCAAAATCGTCGGCTGCAGAAAATAGCCCGCCAGGTCGGGCACTTTGTTGCCGCCGCACACAAGTTTGGCACCCTCGGCCACTCCTATCTTGACGTAGTCCAGGATCTTGTCCTGCTGCACCTTGGAGACCTGCGGACCGACGTTGACACCTTCGGCGAATTGTGGTCCCTGCACAAAATTCTCTTCAACGTGCTTTTTGAGTCTGTCCAGAAACTCGTCGTAGATACCTGCTTGGACGTAAATTCTGGATGAGGCGGTGCAAATCTCGCCCTTGTTGAAGAAGATGCCGAACGCAGCCCATTTGACAGCCTGTTCCAGGTCGGCGTCGTCGTACACCACAAGCGGCGACTTTCCACCGCACTCCAGAGTGCACGCCTTAAGGTTTTCTGCAGCGAGCTTCTGGATGGTCTTGCCAACCACCGTGCTACCCGTGAAAGTGACCTTGTCGATGCCTGGGTGTGACGCAATGGCGGACCCAACCTTGGCTCCAAGACCACAAACAACGTTCAGCAGTCCAGCCGGAGCACCAGCCTTCAAAAAAAGCTCGCACATGTACAGAGCACAAAGAGGCGTATTTTCGGACGGCTTAACCACGATGGCATTACCGGCAGCCAAGCAAGGGGCCACTTTCCATGCAAACGTGGAGCACGGGAAATTCCACGCCATGATGGCGGCACACACCCCATATGGCTCCGTAACAGTGTAGGTGAATTTCGAGCGCTCTGTTTCGACTGTCTTGCCATCCTCGGCAGTGATTGCCAGAGCACTGTAGTAGCGGAACACGTCTGCCGAGTGCAGCACGTCGAAAATGGCGTTCGTCGCCTTTGGCTTGCCGCTTTCGAGGGCTTCTAGATCGGCCAGTTGATCGCTGTGCTCGAGCATGAGCTGCGAGATTTTGAGCAGCAGGTCCGACCTTTCGCGGCCACTTTTGCTGCGCCACACCTCCGTGAAACACTTTCTTGCGCTCTTCACGGCCTGCTCCACATGTCTCTCGTCTCCAAGATGGACGGCGCAGATCTCAGTGCCGGTGCCAGGGTCCTCGACGGCGAGTTGACTTTCGGTGGCCAGAAACTCGTTGTTGATAAAAATACCAGTCTCCAGCTGGTACTGCTTGCCGTTCGGAACTTTAATGTGTGCGATGGTCATTAGAGAAGCAAATTCAGCACTAAATGCTATCTATATATCGTGTATGCACCTTCCTGATAAGGCAGGAGCTGAAAAAATTAAAATTAATTAAGTGTGGTGCAAGGGTGCACCAGAAAATTAACATTCCATTCTTTGTCATGAATGCTCCGTCTACACCACGGCACCCTGAACCGGACCAAGAGGTGGAATTGACCGACCACGACATACCAGAGGATCTTGCCGAGGCTCTGGATTTATCATCTGACTCTGAAGAGGCTGTGGGCAGCGAGAGCGTCGAAATGGTACCAACAGCAACCACGGGAAGTATTGACGATTTCACCGACCTGGATGCCACAATTAATAGGCCGTCGCCGGTCAATCCGTTTGGACAGAACCGCGGACTCACTGCCTCGGAACCCCCGCGTCTCGTGCGCCGGCCGCCCCAGCGCCCGCGCAAGCTAAGCGGGGCGCAACAGAGCCGGCTGGTGGCGTATATGGACGCCAAGCTGCTGCAGATCCAGCGGATGTTTATCAAGTATCTTTCGCTGCGAAACGACGATGATGAGAACGATGTCGATGACGAGCAGGCCGAGAAGTCGCCGCTTGCCGAGATCGACGCGTCGCCCCCACCACAGGCAGAGCCGGACGACGTTTACAAGTACACGCTGGACCGGCTGCTGGAGCAGGTCACAAGCGCCGTGCTACTGCTGTGGGTGTCGCTTTACGGGACAAAAGAGATTCCAGCTATTTACCATTCAAATTTAGCAGACTCAGAGCCCAAGGACGAGCTTCAGATCGACCTGATCGACCCGTCGACCGTCGCGGGACAGCCGGCGTACCTCATCCGCATCATGGGCGACCTTGCGGACTACTTGGAAAAATATCGTCTTGACTCGTTCCAGGACTTCCATTTGGTATTGGAGCTGCTGGCCAAAATTGACAATTTCGCGAGTATTCTAATCGACCAGACAGAAAAGCCAATTTTCAGCACCACCGACAAGGTTCGCATGGACTCAATTGTCCAGCGGACGAAAATACTGATGGTGGCCAAATTCGAGGAGTTCCAGGCGGCCGTCGACGCGAGCGAGGCAGACGAGCGGGGCAAGCGCGGCGTGCACTCGGGAAGAGACCTGCTCCCGACGTACCAGCTGCTAGTGGGCGAGATCTACGAGGGGATCACGGACCGCACGTCGATATGAGCCACTGGTACGCGGAAGCAGTGTGCTGCTCCTCCTCGCACCACAGGTCCTCCAGTTTCTCCGCCATTTTGCGCGCCAGCGGGTACTGTTGGTCCTGAGCGAGGATATGTAATTCTTTGGAAAAAAATTCACGGTGCGCCATTTTCAGGGCAACGCAGCCTCCGATCAGTAGCGGAAACAACAGCAGCGTGAGCGAGTTGCCCGACACTGCGCCAAGTTCCGCCACCAGCTGCTCGAGGTAGAACTGCACCACGGGGCTGTCAGCTTCTGTGGAGGCGTCCGCGAGCTTCAGATACAAAATCTCCTGCGCGTAGAAAAGAGCTTTGCACACGGCCAGGTTCCGCTGGGTTTGACGCTGGCCGGGCGTGAGGTCCTGGAGCGGAATCTGAATCTCCAGCGTCTGGATGGCCGTCCACGTAAGCGTCATTTTGTGTTTCACTGGGGCGAGCAGTTTAGTGGTTTTCGCGTCGGCGAGCTTTGCTAGTGTCTCGAGCGACTCCAGCAGAAGCGCGCGCTGTTGCCCGACGTGCCAGTCGCACGCAAATGGCACGTCCACAAGTGAGATGAAGTTGAAGCTGTGCTGGTAGAATTCGTACGGCGAGGGCAGCTTGGAGGTGTTGCAGAAAAACAGCGCAACGGGGAAATTCCGCACAAAGACGTTGAGCACGGTATGGCTGTCGGGCAACGCTGCAAGCGCCCCGAGCGTCTGGGCGTCGAGCAGCTCGCGCAAGCTGGTTTCGAGCGCGTGCAGCGTGTGGATGGCGACGATGATCCACGAGAAGGGCGGGGCGTTTTCCACCAGCATGTCGAGCGCAGGCTCGGAGGTCAGAATGTCGAAGCGCGGAGCAATTTTGCGATCCTGGTGCTTGTACGAATCAAGCTCGAACACAAAGCACATGTGCGAGGGGATCGGGTACTCGCTGGGGTCTTGGGGATCGGGCTGGGGCAGCTGTGGCGGCGACGATGCGGCTTTAATCTCGTAGTTCCTGGGCAGCGCAGCACCTCGTTTTTCGGGCCACGAGCAGTGCAAGAAGTTGCGCGAGCAGCCCGAACACACGGGATACCGCTCGTCGCACTTCTTCTTGCGCTTTCGGCAGGTGAAACAACCCGACTTGGTTCGTGATTTGGACATGGGGAAAATAAAAATTGCAACAATTTTGCGGGTCCGAGGTGTAAATAGCACCGGTGCGCGGGTGCGCCGGTGCGCACACTATGCGTAGCACCGGGCACAGAAGCTGGCGCTGCGCAGCCTTCTTGTGCCGCCAACTTACTTGAGCTCCTTGAGCCCCTACTTTCAATGGCACGCGATTATATGGCCATCCTGTCACCGCGGATAACTGCCTAAACGAGCGACGATTTTATTCCGCATGGAAATTCCCAATCTGATTCTTATCAGTGCAAAATAAATAGCTGCCAACTCCCAGCACCCAACTTATTATTAATCATGGTGTCTCAGCCTTTGTCTGTATCTGCCCCAGCCAATATCGAATCCCTGTACAAGTTCACGGACGACGTGTCGGATCCGCAACTGTTCGAGTCCTGGAAGCCCAAGATCGCTGCGTACCGCCAGGCTCTGGCGGACTCTCTGCAAGCCGAGTACAAGCTGCCCGAGACCGAAATCCCTGGCGATCTCGACGAGACCAATTTCAGCACGGTCCAATTTCTCAAAGAGACCAAGCACCTGACTCCACAGGAGCGCGAGATCACCGAGTCGTCTGCCACCGAGCTGCTGCGCAAGATGGAATCCAGAGAGCTGTCTGCCGTGGCGGTGCTGAAGGCATTTGCGCACCGGGCTGTGATTGCGCACCAGTTGACTAACTTTGCGTGCGAGTTCTTTGTGCACGAGGCGCTGCAGCGGGCCAAGCAGCTGGACGAGTACCTGGCTGTCCATGGAAAGCTGGCAGGCCCGCTGCACGGCATTCCGATTTCGCTCAAAGAGCAGATCGGGTACGCGGGCAAGATCACTCACGGTGGCTGGGTCGCGTGGCTGGACAACGTACCTAAGGAGGACGCCGTGACGGTGCAGGTGCTGCGGAACCTGGGCGCTGTGTTCTACGTGCGCACGAACGAGCCGCAGACACTGATGCACCTGGACTCCAACAACAACATTGTCGGCCGCACGCGCAACCCGCACAACTCGCTCTTGACCGCGGGCGGGTCTTCGGGTGGCGAGGGTGCCAGCGTGGGCTCGCGGGCATCGCCGCTGGGCGTGGGCACCGACATCGGCGGCTCGATCCGCGGACCGGCCGCCTTCTCTGGCGTGTACGGCCTGCGCCCAACCTCGAGACGGATCTCGACGTTTGGCGGCGTTTCGTCGGGCAAAGGCCAGGAGTCGATCGTCGCTGTCGCCGGCCCGCTCGCCAACAGCGTCGACGACATCGAGCTGTTCATGCGTGCGTACATCAACGCGGGCAAGCCGTGGGACCTGGATCCTTGGTCCCTGCCGATGCCATGGCGCCAGGTTGCCGTTCCGGAGCCGCAGACACTGACGGTCGCCGTGATGTACGACGACGGGATCGTGAAACCGCTGCCACCGATTATTCGCGGTCTCAAGCACACTGCGGACAAGCTGCAGCAGGCGGGCGTCAACGTGGTCGAGTTTCAGCCGCTCGAGACGGACAAACTGTACGAGGTGGCAAAGTTGCTGTACAACTGCGATGGCAACCATGCGCAGAAGGAGATGCTACGGCCGTCGGGCGAGCCACTGCTACCGCTCACGAAATGGGCACTGTCTTTCGGGCAAGGCGACCGCGCGCTGTCCATCACCGAGAACAGAGAGCTCAACTATCAGCGTGACAGGTTGCGGAAGCTGTACAACGACTATTTCGTCCAGAACAAGGTCGACTTCATCCTGTGCCCGAACTACTGCGGCCCGGCCCCGGTTTGTGTCCAAAATGGCGTCGAGGGCCCTTACTACTGGGGCTACACGTCGCACTTCAACCTGCTGGACTTGCCTAGTTTGACGGGTCCGACGGGACTTTATGCGGACCAAAAGGTCGATACGAAGCCGGAGTACACGCCGCGGTCGACGATCGAGGCAATCGAGCACGCCAAGTACAAGCCGGAGCTCGTTCACGGCGCGCCGATCTGCTACCAGCTGGTCGGGCGGCGGTACTCTGACGAGGAGGTCGTGGCTGCGGGCAAGCTTCTCGGGCAGATCCTGGAATTAGACTAGGTGGTTATATAGATCTACGAAATCCTATCCAAGACTGGTAAAAACTGCCCGACAATGAGCATCGGGATGTCGAACACGTCGCGCTTGATGGTCCAGATGCAGCAGCAGCGTAGGTAGTTGCGGTCCTCCGCCTTGCGAAGGTTGCAATCGGTGAGGTACGTGGCGTTGAGGTCGCCGAACGCGAGCTCGCTAAAGCTGCGGAAGTACTTGATCGTGCTCTCGTCGTCCATCAGCTCGACAATGAAAGTGCGCTTCGACAGCAGCGCCTTGCGCGAGTAGCCCGTCATGACGGCAAACGTGTCTGTGAGCGCAACGATCTCGCCCGTGCGGCGCCAGATCGCAATAGGCGACGGCGATAGCGCAATCAGATGCTCGTATTCCAGCAGCGACCGCTGGAACGAGTGCTCTGTGAACAGCAGATCGTTCTCGTGCAGCGATTTGGTGGCAGAAATAAACGACGGCCTGTACTTGGCCATGCACTTGGCAATCTCGATCAGCTGGCCCTTGCTGAAGCGCCGCTTCAAGTACGAGATCAGGGCGTGGTACGCGCGAGGATACCGGTACGGCTTGATCAGCTGGGTCAAATAAATATCGTCCGGGTGCTTCACGTGCTGGCGCACCAGGATCGGCGCGACGTAGAATTCGTCCTGCTCGGGCACCGCAGGCACCTCGCGGGCAAGGTTCGGCATCGCCGAGTGCCACTCGTTGTACACGTACGAGTTCGGGGTCTCATTGTTCGGGTACGACGACCGCATCGTCAGCGTCTCGATGTTGATCTCGATGAACGGCCGAAACTCCTTGTCCTCCTCGAAATCGACAAAGTCGTCCGTGGGCGAGGGCGGGTTCGTGTTGAGCAGGTCGGTCAGCTGTGCGTACTCGTCGTTGGCCATCGTCGACTCGAAGTTGCGCGGGTCCGGGGCAAATACGAAGGGCAGCGAGTCGAAGCCTTCGAGCGGCGCGTCCTGCGACGCCACAGACGACTGTCTGCTAGACTGCGTGCGCGAGCCCTCTCTGTAGACGCTTTTTTTCTTGCGCACCGAGTCCCGGCACGAGTCTGCGAGCCCACGCTTGGAGCAGTTCGCGCACGGGCGCGCGTCGTTGCACTGGAGGTGCTTGCGGTGGCAGAACTCGCACGCGACGCGCGTGGCCTTGCGCGAGAGCTTGACCTCGAGGGGAAGACGTTTGGTCATGGTGGTAGGTGTGGTCTGGGGAACCGCCGGGGCAGCGCGAAAATGTTTTTTTAAATAATTTATTCAAATTGAAAAATTTAGATTTTGGTCTCTACGTAGCCTAGTTACTTCTCAGCACGTCCAAGAACTGGCCCTTGGATGGCTTGGCTGGCTTGTTCTCGACCTTGGCAGATCCAAGCTTCTTCTCGGAGAAGGCCTTGGCGTATGGGTTGAGTCTCAGCAGAACCTGCTTGTTCTTCAATGGGTTCTTCTTCAGAACGTGAGTTCTCTTCTGGGTGGCCTGGCCAGCCGGTCTGACAACAGCCTGGATCTCAGCAGAGTTGATCAGTCTGGTGACGTCCGTGTTGGAGACAATGTTGGCTGGCAGAGCGTAGCCAGATTTGGATTGGTAGACAGAGTCCAGAGCAGCAAAGGCAGACTCGGTCCAGATGACAAATCTTCCCAAGTGGGCACCTGGAGCCAGTTGCAGCAAGCCCAGAGCGGTGACTGGAGCGGTCTCGACACCCGGCAGGTTTCTGAAAGCCTTGACAAGACCCTTGTCCTCGCCGTAGACAATCAATGGTCCTCTTCTTTGGGTGAATCTTCTGCCTCTCAGCTTACCCTTACCGGCTCTCATCTTCTTGGACTTGATCACCTTGACGACGTCCTTGTGGGCACCGACAGCCTTCAGGACAGCAACAGCTTCCTTGGTCTTGGAGACAGACTCAAGGTCGGAAGACACAACCAATGGAATCTGAGGAATCTCCTCGACTCTGTGGCCTCTGGCCAAAACCAGAGATTGCACAGCAGTGGCAGCAATGGCAGAAGCAGTGGCGTATCTCTTCTCGTTGAGATTGACCTTGACGTGCCATCTTCTCCAGATCTTGGTTGGAGCAAACATACGACCGCCTCTGCACATGTTACCGAAAGCAGCTTGGCCAGATCTGTGGGTTCCGCCACCGCCAACTCTTGGGATTCTGGCAACGGCTCTACCGGTACCCCAGGACTCGGCAGAGGTCTGGTGACCAGCGTTCTCAGCGACGGCGTAAGCCTGTCTCTTGTTCTTGTTGACTCTGGTGAAGACGGAGTGGACAATATCTGGTCTGATAGGAGCCTTGAACACGGCTGGGAGCGGCAGAGAGCTGGAAGTGGCCTTGCCGTCGAGGCTGACGACGGAAACTTGAGGAGTGGACATGGTTAAAAAATGATGAAAATTCAGAGTGAAAAAATTGTATCAAATATTTCCGGGTCGTGCAGCGTGCCCAATCCGTATCTGCGCGGCCGGGTAACCCCCATCCCGACCGGCCGCCCCCTCGCACCTGGGGACAAAATAAGCTGACCTCCTTTGTTTCCTGCCCCATTTAATATGTCGTCCACGATTGCACCCCTACTGCAGATCGATCCCTGGCTTGAGCCCTTTGCTGCCGAAATCGACCACCGGCGCAAGCTCGCCGACAATTGGCTTCAGGTGCTGCAGAAAAACGAGGGCGGGCTGCTCAAGTTCGCAGACTCTTATCAAAAACTGGGGTTCCATGTCAACCCTGACAACTCGATTTTCTACAAAGAGTATGCGCCCAACGCCGTCGCAGCGTGCGTGATCGGCGACTACAATGACTGGCAACACGACACGGACGTCATGACAAAGGACAATTACGGCTTCTTCAGCGTTGTTCTGCCTCCTGTCGGTGGGAAACCTGCTATCCCCCACAACTCGAGGGTCAAAATTTTACTCACGCTGCCTGATGGCTCCAAGGTTGCGCGGCTGTCGCCGTACATTCTGCGCGCTACTGCGCCACCCAAGGAGTACAACAACCCGGCGTACGAGGCCCGTTTCTGGAACCCCCCAACAAACTACGAGTTCAAGCATCCGAGACCGCCTCTGCCGCAGTCCCTCAAAATTTACGAGGCCCACGTCGGCATCTCGACTCCTGAACCGCGCATTGGCACCTACAAGGAGTTCACTGCCAACGTACTGCCCATGATCAAGGACCTGGGCTACAACACTGTCCAGCTCATGTCTATCATGGAACATGCATACTACGCTTCTTTCGGCTACCAGGTCACGTCGTTCTACGCGATCAGCTCGCGGTTTGGAACCCCAGAGGAGTTGAAGGAGCTCATTGATACGGCACACGGCATGGGTATCCGTGTTCTTCTCGACGTGGTGCACTCTCACGCGTCTAAAAACGTTGATGACGGACTCAATATGTTTGACGGCACCGACTACTGCTACTTCCACAGCGGCGGGAAGGGTGTCCACGACCAGTGGGATTCGAGACTGTTTAACTACGGCAGCTACGAGACACTGAGGTTCCTGCTCAGCAACCTCAAATTCTACTTACAAGAGTACAAGTTTGACGGGTTCCGGTTCGACGGTGTGACCAGCATGCTGTACGTTCATCATGGAATTGGCGAAGGCTTCTCTGGAGACTACAATGAGTATCTGAGCCCCAATGGATCTGTGGACAAGGAGTCTCTCACATACATGATGCTCGCAAACGACCTTTGCCGTCAATATGGAGAGGTCGAGAACTGTACCATCACGACGGTGGCAGAAGACGTGTCTGGTTATCCAACCTTGTGTATGCCTCGTTCAATTGGAGGTGTTGGATTTGATTACAGGCTTGCAATGTCGATTCCAGACATGTGGATCAAGATCCTCAAGCACTTGAGAGACGAAGACTGGGATATGGCTGCCATTGCGCACACTCTTACCAACAGAAGATACAAGGAAAAATGTATTGCATACGCAGAGTCTCATGACCAGGCCCTGGTCGGAGACAAGACGCTGGCATTTTGGCTCATGGACGCTCAAATGTACACTAACATGTCGGTTCTTACTGAACTTACCCCGGTCGTTGATCGCGGGATTCAGCTACACAAGATGATCAGGCTGGTCACGCAATCTCTCGGTGGAGAAGCGTATTTGAATTTTGAGGGTAACGAGTTTGGTCACCCAGAATGGCTGGATTTCCCTCGTCAAGGAAATGGCGAGTCGTACCACTACGCAAGAAGACAATTCAATCTGATAAAGGATGAATTGCTGAGATACAAGTTTTTGTACCAGTTTGACAAAGCAATGAACACCACAGAGTCGAAATACACTTGGCTGAATTCCGAGCCGGCGTACGTGTCTTTGAAGAATGAGGTAGACAAGGTGCTGGTTTACGAGCGAAACAACAAGCTGTTCTTGTTCAACTTTCATCCCACGCAATCGTTTACTGATTACAGGGTTGGTGTCGAGACTCCAGGCTGCTACAAGATCATATTAAACTCGGATCGGTCCGAATATGGCGGACATGGCCGTATCGACGAGTCCAAATCTGTCTTTTTCACCACTGAGTTCCCATGGAATAACAGAAAAAATTATATTCAGGTTTATCTACCTTCGCGGTGCGCCTTGGTTCTTGCTTTGGACAGCGAGATCAAGTAAGCACCTCATGCCAGTCATCACTATTCGATATCGGAAACAAACTTGATACGGTTGAGTACCAGCGATTCCATAAATATTTCAATGCATTTCTCGTGTGAGGTTTTAAGAGCATTAGCTTTGGTGAGGAACATCTCCTTCTTTTTGATCACGTTCTCTGTTGGAGTGATCTCGAACAATTTGGAGAGAGCCTCCACATGATTGGAAAGGTTACTCTGTGTTTTCTCCAGCATGCCCTTTTCCTTTGAGCTTTCTAGATAGAACATCAGGGCATACGACCACATCAGCGTGATACGGCATCTCAGCAGGGTATCGATCGACTCGCGGTAAAAATGGGCCTCGATCCACGACACTTTAGCCCGTTGCTGTATTTCCTGGACTTTGTACTCCAGCTTGGCAAGGAACTCTGTGTCTTTTTTCAATGAGACGCGGTGGATCTCGAACAGGTCGAAATAAAATAGGTATTTTTTGAGCGACACTCGAGACGTTTCCTGTTTCTCGCGCTCCTTCTTGGCCTCTTCGTCGTCGAAGCTTGTGCACACAAAGTTGTTTTTGTGACGGCTCCAATCGCCCAGGCAGATCCAACAAAACTGGTAGTGGCACTCTCCGCAGGTCATGTGGTTGCAGCCTCCATTTTTCTCAATTGGCGAGGAACATTTGGGACAGTCCTTTGTGTTTGCCGTGATCCAGTGCGACGTTTCAGTCTCGTCTTCACAGGTCTGAATCCATTTACGAACCACAGCACACGTGGCTGGAGCATGGTCCTCGCTCATGCACGCAAAGCAGAACCGATGACCGTTGGCACACTGCACGATGGGGATATACTTGTGTGCGACGTACTCCTCCACAGAGCTCATCACGTCCGAATCGAACCCCCTGTACTCGATGAAACACTCACAGTCGACAGCAGGACAGTTTCTAAACATCCGGGCATGTTTCTTAGTGTACTGGAGCACCACCGCGTACCAGTAGCGGGAGAGAAGCACTTTGTTGCGCCGTTCTTGTTTTTCGAGGCGTTGTTGTCGAATATGGCGCTCGTGGAAATTGAACAGCGCGTCGTCGGCGCTTTCCTCGCCGTCCCCAGACTCTGCATCCTCCTCGTCGGAACTCTCGCTAGCCAGCTTCTGGTATTTTGCCATGATTTGCTCCGACGTCAACGGACCACCCAAGTTCTGTCTCTGTGCCCGCGACTCTTGTTCTTCCTTTTGCAGCGCTCTCTGCTCGTCGATTGCACTTAGCTGCGCCAGCTCTCCCGGCCGCACGTACAGATGACAAGCAGTGTCGGGACACTTCACCAGTCCGGTCTGGCTGCCTCTAACATAGCGCACATAGCAATCCACGCAGTATCGATGATCACACCACGAAAGCCCGAACGTTTCGATCGGGCCCTCGGTGCAGCAGATCGCGCACATAAACTCCGGCCCGGCCGTCTCCACAAGCCCAGACACCACCGCCGTGTCTGTCGCGAGCCCGCACTCTCGACGCAGGTTACCCGGCTCTTTTGTAGTGAAGTCCTCCAGCAGCTTCTGCTCGTTCCACTCGTACTTGAGCATCAGCACGGCGCAGTCGTCCTCGCCGATCTGCAGAATGCTGTCCACGTCCCCGATATGCGCCTTGAGCTGGGCCTCGATCTCGTCCGCCTCCACGGGCTTGTACCGCATGCGATGCGTGCTCAGACCGTTCGCCGTCTGTCTGTTCTTGTGCGTGTAGTGCACAGAATCTGTTAAAGACAGCGCCTCAAGCTCGTCGAACGATACAGAGCTCGCGTACTCTTCCTCGGACTCGTACTCAAACTCGCTGGCGGACATAAATTAGATAAATAATTGCACAGCCAGCAAAAATAAATCTCGAGCTCTCTTCAACCATGCTCAGTTATGTAAATATCTAGTGGCGTTAGAAGCAATCGCTAAGCCGAGTTTTGTGATTGGACTGCCTATACCGTATTCACCTCAGCCATGACATCAGCCCCACGATTCCAGCTCATCACCTATACACGTTGATGGTGCCGCTGCGGTCGCCACTGACGAGCATGTCGTACGGCAGACACACCCACGCAATGTGCAGCACCCGGTCGCGGTGGCCGACCGCTGCGGCCGTGCGTTTCTGGCCTGTGCGTCGCTCGCTCACAAACATGAGATTCGAGTTGATCTGCGTCGCCACAAACGACGCCGCCGCGGCGTTCCCCACCAAACACGAGCGCTCGGGCTCGCCAAGGTCCCACACAGTCAGCTGGTTGTGTGGAGCAGCGCTCACCAACACCCCGCCGGCACATTTCAAGGCTGTGCAACTTTTGTCGGCGGTGATTAGCTCATCAGAGAGCTCGAGCTGCGCCAGCTGGTCGTCCAGCGAATCGTTCTCGTTGCCCAGCTCGGTCACGATGTACGTTTCGATCGTGGAGGACACGCTGGAGCAGCAGAAAACCTGTCGGGGCTGCAGGCGTGCCACGTCCCAGACAGTCACGTCTGCGTCGCCAGAGCCGCCAATCACGGCTATGTATCTGGACTTTCTGCCGTTCGGCGAGTACTCTGGCGGCAAAGTCTCGATGCGGTGGATCGGGAAGCTCGATCCGCGGAATTTTGCGCTCTTCAGTGAGATCTCAAAGTTCAAGTCCCACAGGTCCAAGATACCCTTTGACGTACCGACAACAGCCCAACCCTGCGACTCGTCCACCGCTAGCGCGGTCGGTATCCCGTGCGATAGGTTGCACTGCACCGAAAAGACAGGCTTCATGGTGCGTACATCAAGGCCAAAAAGCTTGGATGTTGGCGTGGTGGCCACCAGAAGCGGTTTTTCAGCCCGCCAGAAGAACCCCAGCTGCAGTGCATACCTGTCGGTTTTGTCCAGCTTGTAGTGTCTGATGAGGCTCGTTTTGGCGGAGGAGTGTCTTCTGTGCGTGTTTGCAAACTCAAGTCGGAAAATCTTGATGTAGCCGTCCTTGGTGGCTACCGCGAGACAGTATCTATTTGGCATAAATTTGATAGCCACAATCGGTGATTCCAGGTTAACGGCCAGCGTCGACGACCCGGTGACGTTCATCTCGAGCCGCGCAGAATCCCACAGCTTGAGCTCGCCGGACTCGTCGCTCGAGATGAAAAACTTATGATCCGGAGAAACTTCGAGGCCGGTGATAGCCGCCTTGTGCTCCACCAGCCGGGAAATCAATGTTCCAGACACCTGTGATTTCTCGCGAGTTTCGGGTGGTTCGTATGCCGCGGCAGGCCCGCCGAACTCGTTATAGTCGTCCAAAGTCGGCTCGAAGGACATGCTGCCCAAGAATTTGAGAATGTACGGGTTTGTTCCGGAGTAGCTGTGTTTAATTTTGGTGGTGATTTTCTGGACGCTGGTCGACTCCTCGGCAGAAACAGGCGTCGACGGCGGCAGCGACGTTGTTTCTCCGCCGACTGCGCGGCTGCTGGTGAATGTGAGCGGGTCTGCTTTAGCGGCAGTACCGTACAGCAGAGCAGGCGCCTTTCTGGGAGCAGACGACGCCGCAGAGCCGTTCAGGGCTCCTGACGCAGGGTCCTCGCTCGGAACCACCTCCGAGCGGTGCAAGACATCGAAGAACACGGTACGTGGGAGCACATTGGGCTTGGATACATCGGCAGAAATCATTTGCTGGCTATTGGTGCGTGCGATTTTGTAGATGTAGGAGCGCAGCGTCGCCACTTTCCAGAGCTCCGAGTCGGCCATCCCCACGGACTTGAGCCGCTCGACGTGCTGCAGATCGCTCTGGCTCAGTGGCACCTCATTGTTGGCCACCACCGTCATGTCGTCGACGCCATGGAAGCGATGCAGCGAACTCTGGGCCACGTTTTTGCGCAAAAATGCGATGCCAGACGTGTTGAACAGGTCTCCGCGGCGGTGCGACGCCTCTACACGCTGCCAAAACAGCGACTGGTCCTGTTTCAGGGACCACGCTTGCGCCAGTGTGTACACGGCAAGCGAAATCGGCTGCTGGGCACTGATATAGAGCGACTCCCACGAAAACTCGGTCAATTCGTCCTGGAAAAATGGCCTGATGATCGGGTAGAGCATGCAGTAGAGGTCTGCAAGTGACAGACTAGAACCGACGGCCACAACAAGATCGAGTACCGCCTGTCTGATGGTCTCGTTTGGGAGCAGCAGCAGACGGATCGTGAGCTTGACAAGGTCCCAGTAGTGGACTTTGCGCACGAGTCCAAGTTTGCAGAGCTCCGTGAAAGTCTTGATAACACCGATGACGACCAGCTCGTCGGCGTCGTTCAGCGATTGCACTAAGAGCGGCAGAATGTACTGCTCCAAACTGACAATGCCGACGAAAACAGAGATGGGCACGATGCTGGCGACAAAACCGAGCCGGATGTTGGGGTTCTTATCATTGAGGTATGTGATGAGATGGCTCAGAATGATGTCGTTGGTCCTGTCTTTGCCGAAAAACGCAGCAAGGGGTAAAATATTTTTCAGCAGCGAGATACGCACAAACGAGTCCTGGTCGGTGAGGATCTGCACCACGAGTGACTCAAACTCCACCACCATGTTCTTGAATGATTTTTCCAGCTGCAGGTCGTTCTCGATCGCAAACTCGTCGGACGCCGCGTGCTGCGGTTGCACGCTGAAAAGCGTGGCCATTTCGTAGAACCGGCGCGCGGTCCGCGCCAAGTAGGGCAGACAGCCCGCAAACACAGACCGCAGATATCGGCCAGCCTCCGGCTGCGTGGTATCCTGATACGTGCGCTTGAGAAACTGCTGTAGCTTGGGGAGAACGTATTCCGGGAAGATGTATGCGTTGACGGGTGTAATCACGTCCACCATGGTCAGAAGCTGAGCCAAACACCGCAGAGCAGCACTCTGTACGTCCTCGCTCGGATCGTCCAGCATGTACATTAGATACGGCAGACACCTGTCCAGCTTGGCCTCGTCGTGGAGCTGTTCTGCAAAGGAGAGAATGATATCGCAGGCCTGCACTCTGAACGACGAATGCGTCGAGTTTCGCACACTATGCAGCACCAAGGACAGCAAAATTAAAGACGCGCAGTCGTTCGAGGCCTTGAAAACCTCATTTGTCGGTTTGGGCACATGGTCGTTCATGCCGGGCAGCTGCAAACGAACAGGAATCATTGTATCTGTGACTTGTTTCTTGTCGTCGTCGTATTGGTGCTTGAACCCTAAATAAAGCGAGATTTTATCGAAATCGTTGTAAACGCGGGCAATGCGCATGTCGCAGCTGCGAAACGGATCGCTTACCTCTGTAATGTCGCTGAGTTTCCTCATATATGGATGCAGAAACGTGTAAAAATGGTCGGGAAACACAGAGCGGCGAAACTGGGTCAGACAATCCTGCGCAGAGAGCCGCTGCCGGGGGTCTAGAGCAATCATGCTCTGGATCAGTCTGCGCACGTTTATGTCGTCTATCGTGTCCAAGTTCGGCTGGTATTCACCTTTTTTGTACTTGAATAGCTGCGCAAGCGTGAAAATTGAGAGACCCTCGAGATAGATCTCGGCAATGGCACACCCCAGCGAGAAAATGTCCATTTGCCAGGTCAGTTTGGCGTCCGGATGCTCGTCGACTTCTTTGTCTGAAGCAAGAAACCGCTCGGGAGCAACATGGCACGTGTGGCGCTGGCTGGTATCAAAGTAGAACGAAAACTGCGAAGGGTTGTTCTCTGGCAGATACACAGGCTTGAACACAGCAAAGTCACTGATCAGACACCAGTTCCAGGACGTCATCAGCACATTTTCTGTTTTCAGATCGCCATGGTACACGTTTTTCTGATGCATGCGAGAAAGTCCAACAAGAAGCTGGTACACAATCCATTTGCGCTCGATCGGCTCCAAAAATGGACGGATACTTATCCGGTCGTAGAGATTGTAGCGAATATAAGGGCGAATCAGGTATCCTGCTCTCTGGGAGTCTATTATTTTCTCAAAGGGTAAGACGTTAGGTAATTCCAACAAGTCGACCCTCAGCTTTTCCAGCTCGCGCACCCAGGCCTCGAGATTTAGCTCGGTGCTGGGCTTTATGAGTAGCTTGACAACAACGGCCCCTTCTTTGTCAAGACATTTGATGGTCTTCAGAAATCGAGTCGAGCTTAACGGTTTGCTGTACTGAACATCACTGAGATAGTCTATGTAGGCGGAAACGGCAATTGTCTGTGCTGTGGGCGACAGAAGCGACAACTGGGCACCCATCAGAAATAACTTAAATAAATAAAAGTCGGACACAGCCTTATTTTTCATACGTGTATCATTTATTCTAATCTCATTAGCTTACAGTATACCACGGAGCCCTACTTGAGCGTCGCCTTTCTTTCCTTGCGGAAAAGCTCGACTTCCTCGTGTAGCAGGATTTTCATGTCGTTGACGGTGCGACACTTCCACTCGAAACTGAAGTCGAACGGCTGTGCAACCTCTGGCTCGTCTTCCAAATTGCGGACCTCAGCGAGTAAGGGGTGGTCCAAACACTGCTCGACAGTGTACCGTTTCTCGACCTTCCAGCAAAGCAGGTTCGAAAGCAAATCGTGGGCCAGCACGCTGGCGTGAGGATACACGTTGGACCACTCCTGTTTCTGGAACTGCGGTTTCGAGGACGCAAAGTAGTCCCACGCCACAGTAGAGTTGTACCCTAGTATCACGTTTCTTGAGGGAGTGCCCAACACTTTGCAGATCTCACTGATCTGGTGCATCTGGTCGTCGCCAATGAAGAGCGGCTTGCGGCCGTACAGCTCGCCAAAAATACACCCAACGGCCCACATGTCGATCTCCTTGCCGTACTGTTTTCTTGTGAGAATTAACTCTGGCGCGCGATACCACCGCGTGGCGACATAGTTGGTGATGTTGCTGGATCTATGGTTCTTGTTCATGTACTGTTCCGAGATTCCGCGTGCGAGGCCGAAGTCGCAGATCTTGAGCACTCCCTGGCTCGTCACCAGAATGTTGCCCGGCTTGAGGTCTCGATGAATCACGTCTGCGGAGTGGATGTATTTTAGTCCGCATAAGATCTGGTACAGGAAGCACTGGATGTGGAACTCGCTGAACTGCACGGACGAGTGGATCACCTTGGCCAAATCGTAGTCTACCAGCTCCTGGAAACAGTACAGCCCGTCGTAGGGCTTCATGTAGACGATGTCGAGGTCCACCAAGTTGATAATATTTTTGTGGCCCTTGAAGTAGGACATGAGCTTGAGCTCTCTCACCGCGCGTTTCAGCAGCACCTCCTTGTTGAAGATGTTGCTAACCTTTTTTATGGCGATGGACACCTTATCCTTTGATTGCATGTCGACCGCCGAGCACACTGTTCCGTACGAGCCCTTTCCAAGCACAGATATGATATGGTACCGGGAGTCCAGGTAGAAGTTGGCCTTTTCGTACACTATTCTGGAAGGCGCCTGCTTCTGTTGTTTGGTGTTGGAAGCGAGTCTGTTGTTGAGCGTGCGGGCGACATATCCCTCTTCGATCGACATGTTTTATGGGAGCGCCAGAAGGAGAGAAAAAAAAGGGCAGGGGAAAAAATTATGCGAAACTGAACGAGGGCAACACCCCACCGTCGGGCACATGTGCAAGTTCCAGCTGCTGGAATTTGCCCGACGACTGGTGGAAATAGAGCCCTGAGATCGAGCCCGTGAGCTGGTTGAAGCAGATGTAATAGAAACCTTCAAATGAGGCTCCCATGATGCTCTTCACGCTGGCGTCCGGAACGAGAAATATCTCTTTCCACCTCATGTAGAGATGCTCGTTGTTCAGTGCGGTGTCGTATATGTGTTGGTTGGCGAGGTCGTTTTCCTGGTCGAAATCCAGACTTCTCCAGGACGGGAACCTGCTCCAGTGCTGGAGGTCGTTGCGCTTGTTGGATCCCCACTCCTCGTGGGCCGTGTAAAACGAGTGGTGCGGGCCGATGATCTCTCCTTTGAAGAACGTGGTGAACTCGGGATGCGACTCCGTCAGGCCGTGGATCGTGAAGTAGCCGCACAAATACGATCTTTTCAGGTCCACCTCTTTCAAGTCCACGCGCACCTCAAACGTCGACCGGCCGGACTGCTGGGACCCTATGAAGGAGGAGTTCGGCTTGAGGAAAGACGAGACTTGCGACTTGTGCCGGCCGGCGAAGAAGTCGCGCACGCCGGGCGACGCGACGATCTGCGGAGGCGGAGCATGGTGTCTGGCCTTGAGCGGGTGTGTCGAGCCCGTGTAGCGCTCCTGGGTATCTATGTGGTCAATGTTTATAGGCGTCGGCATGGATTTAGTGGAAATAAAGCGAGTCTAACTTTTTTTTTTGCCAGGTGACACAACAAAGGAGAACAGCGTCTGGAGCTGACAGATTGGTGTAGGACGACGATTCACGAGTATCGAAAATGCAATCAGCGGAAAGTGCACAACACTGTAGGATAAAAATTTCCTCTAGATACCTGTTGACCAATTTAATTCTTTTTCCTTTGCCCGCTTCAGCCTTTCTTTCCCGTATCTTATCGCGTGGATTCGCGAAATTAATAATTTTTCACAGATTTTCGACATCCATGAGCGACGAGTACCGAGCGTTGAAGGACGTTTTTGCAGGCACGATGGGCGGCATAGCCCAGGTCCTGGTTGGCCAGCCGTTCGATACCACCAAGGTGCGTATCCAGTCCGCAGAGGGTCACGTCTCGCCCGTCTACGTAGTGCGCCAACTGCTGACCAACGAGGGTCCTATGGCCTTCTACAAAGGGACGCTGACCCCTCTGATCGGAGTCGGGGCCTGTGTGTCTGTGCAGTTTGGCGTCAACGAGTTCATGAAACGCACGTTTTCGAGTCTCAACGGCCCTGGAAGTTCACTCAGTATGCCTCAGTTTTACGTGTGCGGAGCAGCAGCAGGATTTGCAAACGGTTTTATAGCCGCACCAATTGAGCACATCAGAATCAGATTGCAAACGCAGACCACCGGCACCAAGACGTTCAACGGGCCTCTGGACGTGATCAAGAAGCTGTACCATACGGGAGGCATCAAGTTAATCTACCGGGGTCTGGGACCTACGCTGGCAAGAGAAAGTTTGGGTAGCGGAGCGTATTTTCTGACTTTTGAAGCTCTCGTGAAAAACGAGATCGAGTCGCGGAATATTGCCAGGAAGGACATCGAGAACTGGAAGCTCTGCGTCTTTGGGGCGCTGGCAGGTTACGGGATGTGGTTCAGTATTTATCCGATCGATGTGATCAAGTCCAACATGCAGACGGACAACTACAAGAAGCTGGTTTATAGAAATGCTGTTGAGACTATTAGGGGTATTTGGAGACAGAGCGGTGCCTGGGGGCTAGTCAAAGGATTCTCGCCGACTATTCTGAGAGCTGCCCCAGCCAACGCGGCCACTTTTCTGGCCTTTGAAATTACCATGCGGTATCTGAACTAGAATTCGAGAATAATTAAAGTACTGAAAAATTTAATTTCTAGTACAAGCCAGAGGAGAGAAACCGGTCAACGTAGCCGCCGCTTTTCTGCGTCGCATCATCGTCCTCCTCGTCCTCCAGCCGTCTCAGCAAGTAGTCGACTTCGACCTTCTTCGTGAGCGGAATCACGAAATCCTTGTAGATTTTCACAATCACCTCGGGCTTCACCTTGCTCTGAATGTGCTGCGTAAACTTTAGTGTCGGGTCTGTTCCATACGCCCTACCCTTCTCCAGAAGTCTGTCCAAGATCCGTTTTTCGACCTCGGCGTTTGTGATGAGCGCCTCAATGCCTTCCACATCTCTCTTTTTGATCAGATCCACAATCTTGTCCCCCTCACTGATAAATTTAGCCTCTGCGACAAAACGGCCAAAATGGATTCTTCTGGATAGCGACTGCAGGCACTCGATGTCGGCCATTGCGCACGAGCCAAGGTTGTCCTCCTGCTCTCCGCTGCCTGCAGCTATTCCTGGTACTATCTCTGACGTGTAGATCTTGAGTATCTCTTTGTTGACGTTGATTTCATCCGCGTAGGAGGCTAGCACCGATGGGTAGTTGATCTTGGGCAGAAACGTTTTTTCCAGCACGTTGGGGAAAAAAGGCACCTCGTCTGGCGCGTCGTATCTCCTCACCTGCGAATGGATTCGCTCGTGCTGCGACAACAGCCAGTCCAAGAACGAGCCGTCGAAGTTGGGAATAGGGAACTGGTTGACTTTGTACACCGAGGGCGACGCATAGAACTGCGACCGCTCGATAAAGTTGAAGATGATCGTATCCTCCATCCGGACCAAGGCATCTCTAATGTTGCCAAGGTCCAGCACTGTTTCTGGTTTCATAAAGTCCATACCTACAAAAACTAAACAGGAAAAAAAAAACGACTCCTCAAGTCCGCTTATCCTCGCCTAAAAGCCACGAAAGATGTCTGAACCACAAAAACCGCTGGATTCGCTCCTCCTTGCTGCCTCCAAACCCGTAGTTTTCACGTGCGTCTATAAGGTCGTTTCGCGATTTCTCTGTCATTCTAATGCGTCTCGTGAGCGACTCGCGATACGTTCCGCCAATGTAATCGTCATATAGTATGATGTGTGCAAACTGCAATGCGGTGTATATTCCGGTGGCAACAAGCAGCGTGAGAAGTATGGAACGCCTATTCTGCCTAAACGTCTCCATATTGCTGGCATTGGGCCCCATGTCTCTCCATGTGTTGTCAGTGTAATAACCGAACCCAAAATCTTGTTGACCGTGCCACCTGTCCTCCCAGGTGCCGTACGTGGATGGCCGATATTGGCCAGCCTGCGGAGCAGTTTTCGGCCGGTAAAGGCCGCTGGAGTTGTCCTCCCAGCCAATCCCGTAGTTATCGTAGTTCTGTCGTGTCTGCGGGTTTTTCAGCAGAGCATACGCGGCAAGAATCCGCTTGAAACGGTGCTCTTTCTCCTTATCTTCCAGAACATCGTGCGCCGAGTCCGGATGGTAGACCTTGGCCAACTCGTAGAATCGCTTCTTAAGCTCCTCCTGCCTCACGTTGCTCTGTTTCAAACCAAGTACATCGTAGGGCGTAGCATTCTTGAATGTCGGATACATCTTGAGCAGCCGCCCAACGTTCGAGTCGGTGCTGTACCCCCGTCTACAAAAACGGCAAATAAGCATCATAATAAAGGAACTACTTGTATTGATCAAATCTATTTGCTCAAGATTTTGGAGCCACCCCCACACCGTTTATATTGCGGAACATCCTAACACCGTTATCACCCTCCACGAACTGGCACGCCTTGGCGGATTTCCACAGAGTGTACCACATGGACTCGTCGCTGTGGCGGTAATGGATGCCCATGGCCTTCTTGATGCCCTCAGTGGCCGGCCTAGCGTTGTAGAACGGAATACGGGAAACGTAGTGGTGCAGAACGTGGGTCTCTATAATATCGTGGAAAAAAAACCAGCCAACGAAGCCAAACTCTCTATCGATCGTGGCGGCGGCGCCTCTAGCAAATGTCCATTCGTTGTTGTCGTAGTGAGGCAGCGAGACATCGGTGTGTTGCAGATACGTGATGAACACAAGCCAATGGTTGGTGAAAACGTATGGCAGAAACCAGTTGATGAAGCAGTGGAAGCCTCCAAAGCTCTTGCACCACTGGTACACCACAAACGACTGCGCCAGCACGCCGATGTCGGAGAGCACGACGTACCAGTAATCGCGCTTCTCAAAGATCGGCGACGCAGGGTTGAAGTGCGACACGGCAAACTTGTTGTGGTCTGGGTATTTTTGGCCAGTGACGTTGGTCAACAGATACCACCACCAGCCTCCAAACTGCTGCATTAGCAACGACGTCAGGGTCTGGATTGGAGTGTCCTCAGAAAGCTCACTGAGCTTCACACGCGAATCCCCTGCCCGCTCTTTCTTGAACTCCTCAACAGTCTTAGGAACGAAAACCATATCCCTTGTGAGGTGTCCGGTGGCCTTGTGGTGCTTGCCGTGGCTGTATTTCCAGGAGAAGTACGGAACGAACAAGTAGGAGTGGATGATCCATCCCACAGTGTCGTTAAGCCAGCCGTAGTCCGAAAATGCCTGGTGGCCGCACTCGTGTCCCAAAACCCATAGTCCAGTATAAGGCAGCGACAGCAGGATCGCGTAACCAAGCCACAAGGCGCCTCTCAAGGCTGCCCAGGGAACCTGCGGAATGTATGTATTGGCCACCCAGCCCATGGCGAGACAAACGGCAATATCTCTGAAAACGTAATAAAAGGACGTGGTCAGTCTGCGTTCGAAACACTCTTTAGGGATACTGTCCAAAATCTCCTTAATGGAGTAGTCTGGCACTTGGAACTCGTTGCCCTCGGTGTCTATAGCGCGCAGCCCTTTGGTAGACTTGTCACCAAAACGGCGTTGTGTCACAGTGGTCGACATATTCTTGATAATTCTCCTGATCAAAAGAAAACTAATTTATCACCAGGTCTGACTGTCTGCCCTGCCCCCACTAAAAAAAAATTTAAGTGAATCTACCAGATTTGGATTTTGTTGGGTCTGGCTGAGGAAAGCTGGGTTTTCGGGGTGGTGTAAGGATTTTGCAATGCTTCTCTATCCATTTTTGATTTTATTTTCATTTCTCCATACTTATCAACGCACCATGAGCGAGGTCCAGAAGAAACCCATTTCTTTTTCGAACATCCTGCTCGGGGCAGGTCTCAACATGTTTGAGGTCACTACGCTGGGCCAGCCTTTGGAGGTGGTCAAAACCACTATGGCCGCCAACCGGTCGCTCTCCATTTTTCAGGCCACCAAACACGTCTGGTCGCGTGGAGGATTGTACGGTTTCTACCAGGGCCTGATTCCGTGGGCCTGGATTGAGGCCAGTACCAAGGGTGCTGTGCTGTTGTTTGTCTCTTCGGAGGCCGAATACCGTCTCAAGCTGCTGGGAGCGTCTCCGTTTGTGTCTGGTATAGGTGGAGGAATCACTGGTGGTTTGTTCCAGGCATACCTGACAATGGGATTCTGCACGTGCATGAAGACCGTGGAGATCACGCGTCACAAGGCTGCTGCAGCCGGAGCTCCTGTTAAGAGCACCTTCGAGGTCTTCAAGGAGATCTTTGCCAAAGACGGTATCAGAGGCATCAACAAAGGTGTCAACGCCGTGGCCATCAGACAGATGACCAATTGGGGTTCGAGATTTGGTCTTTCGCGACTTGCAGAAGACAGCATCAGGTCGTTGACAGGTAAGAGCAAGGACGAGAAGCTGGCAGCCGGCGAGAGAATCCTGTCGTCTGTGGTTGGTGGAGGTCTTTCTGCCTGGAACCAGCCTATCGAGGTGATCAGGGTCGAGATGCAATCGCAGACCAAAGACCCTAACCGGCCGAAAAAGCTGAGCGTTGTTGGCGCAGCCAAGTACATTTACTCGAACAACGGTATACAAGGCCTGTACAGAGGCGTGACTCCAAGAGTTATGCTGGGAGTCTGGCAAACGGTGTGCATGGTGACTCTGGGAGACTACGCCAAGGAGTTTGTTGCCGAGCTGACGGGTGAAAAACCTGCTGGACACTAAATAAATACTATTAAAGTGACTACTTATAATCTTGGCTTTCATGAGAATCTGATGCTGGATGTCACTAGCCGGTTCACTGCTTGCGCTGCACACCCCATTTGTCGTAGCAGTAGAGCCCAATGAATGTGAGCGCGAGTCCTGTCCACTGGACTGCGCTGAGTTTCGTTCCCTCCACCAGGATCGAGCAGCTGATGATGATGATCCGTTTGAGGATGTTGGCGATGCTGTAGTTGATTGGACTCACCATTCCGAGTATCTGGAAGGCGACCACGCTCTGCATGAAATGGGAGAGTCCGTTGACGAGAATTAAGCCCGCCACGTAGCGGTCGATCTTGGCGAGAGAAAAACCGGAGTCTGACGAGAACTCCGAGAGTAGATACAGCGGGAGCGTCAGCACAAAGCCCACAAACGAGCAGTGAAACAGCACTGACATCTTGTCGAGCTTTTTCTCGGAGTTGATCACCAGCTTGTTGAGAGACTGCGACGAATTGCCCAACAAAGGCGTGACCGGCGGACTAATGTGTTTTGGAGTCATCGCGATAGGAAGCATGGGCGTGGATGTGGCCGACTCGCTCTTGACGACCTTGTAGTTGAGGCTGTGCGTGAAATAATCGTTCTTGAGGTCCTTAGTCTCGAAAGTTAGGATTTTTTTGGCAAAGATGTTTTGCGAAACAAAGATGAGCATGGAAACGAATGCAAACACGCAACCGGTGTAGAAGAACTCCGAATCGGCGGTGATTCTGTCGTTTTTCACGCAGGACAACATGACACCGACCATCAGCGGAAGCAGGGTCAAGTACGTCTTGCTTCCAAACTTCTGCTTGAACATGAAGCGGTAGATTAAAACGGTGGTCAGAGGCGAAAGTGCCTTAATCGTGTGAACTAAAGAAACGGGGATGACTGAGGTCGCCTTGTGTGACGCGATGTGGCCCAAGAACTGGAACATTCCCATTGGCAGCGTTGTTTTCAAAATAAAGAGTGTGGGGGTCAGAAAGTCTGCGAGGGTGTAGCCGTACCGGTTGAGCTCCACTGGAAACGTGCCCTTGGGAAACTTGTCCAACAGCGACGTGGACTCCTTGTCTGCGTACAAAGAGTTAGGGTTAAGATGATGACGGTGAGATGCAAACATGGCGTCATATTTCTTGACAAACGCCACGGTAAGGAAACAGTAGGCGGCGTTGATGATGAACTGGAGCTCTGTGAGCGTCACTGGGTAGTCGAAATTGCGCAGGATGGATTTTGTGCTGTTGGACGAAACGACACTGACCGTGTACCAGACCGCGCATAGCAGGCACAATTTCCAATCAATAAGGGGCAGCAACGGAGATACGTTGGTGAACAGCTCCTGAACGGAGCTGCGTAGCTTCTGGATACTTGGCCGGCCAAATACTAAGAGCATGGTTGAGAAAGCGAGAGGAAGGGGACAAGATAATTATAGAAACAAGGTATGCTAGAGATGGCTGTACTTTTAAATAAAAAGAAATGGGTCCGGACATGACGAAAAAGGCAAGAACTAATTTCAATAGAAAAATTTTAATGCTCGCTTAGGTAAACCGTGTTCCTTATTAATAAGTGGTGTCCTGATTTATCCATGCGAGGTGCCCCTTTCGAAACTTCGCGTAATATGCAGAGCAAGCAGAAGGCGTGGTTGTCGTTTTCGGCCGACGCGCTGATCAGGAAGTATAAACTTTAATGCTCGGCAAATGCAAGCCCAAAGCATGCAGATCTAAACCGCCTGTTGCAAGTTGAAATTTTTCCCGCAATTTTTATGACATCGACGGCCGACCCTAGCAAGGTTATTTTGTGGCTGCAACAACCACATAACCAGAGTTTTTGGCACACCGATTTACAGGTCCGACACACTCAGAATGGCGTGGGTGTGTTCGCCACGCGGCCCATCGAGCCTGGTACAGTGTTGCTCAGCGTTCCCAAATCGTCTATCTTATCTGCACAAAATTCGTGTATAGCCAACCTTCTCTGCGACGCCCAAATCTTCGGGATGCACGCCTTAGTGATTGCCTTTCTATACGAGAAAAACGTTGGTGCCGCTAGTCCGTGGTCTGATTACATCAACTCCATAAACCTTGCTGATGCAGTGCTGCCACCCTGTATGTGGGGCACGCGAGCCAAGTCTCTGTTGGCTGGCACGGAGGCTGATCTCATGGGCGTTCTGGACAATACAGAGCTTGTTGCCCATTATGAGCTGGCCAGACGCTTTGCGGTTCAACATGCGCCCATGATACCTGCACCTGCTGAGTTGGCCGACCTTTCCAAGTTTGCTGCCGTGGTTCTGGCCGTGGCGTCTCGAGCGTTTGAGATCGACCATTTCCATCTTTCGGGCCTAGTTCCTGGCGCTGATTTGTTCAACCACCACCCTGATGGCCAGGGCTCTGTCCATTTCGAGGCTCTTGCAGAGGTGTGTCCTGACTGTGGCAAGCTGGACTGTGGCCACGGCAGCGACGACTCTGGCGACTTTGAAGATCCTCAAGCCACTGACTTGCTGTCAGACGCAGACAACACAGATAAGGATGAAAACTCCGAGTTATGCGACATTGTTACTCACACGAGCATTGTGCCAGACACAGAAATATTCAACACCTACGGACCCTTATCAAACGCCGAGCTGCTCGCAAGGTACGCCTTCTGTGTTGAAGATAATCCGTATGACACCGTCTGTCTGGGAAAACAGGTGTCTGCACATAGAAAACGGGTCAACCCTGCCATCTCCAGGCGTCTCAGGTGGTGGTCGCGTCAGAGCGAGCAGCCGTGGCTTTTGGAATGCTATGTCAACGCCAATGGCACGCCCTCACCGCAGCTGTGCTGTGTGGCCAAGCTCTTCACTGCCCCGGGCAAAAAGTTGTCGCGGTCGCGGCTCAATAGACTAACCCCTTCTGCCAGACGACTCATCCAGCAATGGTGTGCGCAGAGAAAGTTGCCCGACGTGCCCATCACGGTTCAAGACGCAACTATCGCAGCCCAAATCCGTTGTATCAGAGAAAACGAGAACCGCATCCTGGATAAATGCATTGCCAAACTAAAGTATTAATCTGTAAATAATATCCCTACTTGGCCCACAAACTCTAGCGTTTTGCTGATGTAATCACCCCAAAACAAAATTTTCCAATTGGACAAACAAACACTTCATCGACGCTCATAATATTCATGTTTAGGGCAGCCAAATTCCATCCGGCCGCGCGTCAGGCGATGTATGGCGCTAGATTACAGTCTACCATACCAATTAAGAGCCCCAAAAAGCCGCGGCCATTTAGAAGGTTCCTGTTCCGGCTGTCCATGTTGACGGCAACGTTCTACCTTGGAGGAGGCTTCATTGCCACGAAAAACGACACTGTGCAGGATCTATTTGAGGACTACGTTCCTTTTGGTGACTCGGTGGTGTCGACCATTGACTACTACCTATACCACAAGGAAGAGCTATTGAACCCTTTCTCTAAGGTCAATGACTCGTTTGCCGAGGTGAAGGAGAAGCTGGGTCTGGAGAAGACCATTACAATTCCCAAACAGGGTGTTCAGAGCGACAAGGTTGAATTGAAGGAGTCTCCTGGCGCCGGCTCCACAGAGGTCGCCGTGGGCCGCAGTCTTCCGCTGTTGCATCTCGAATCGGGCGACGAGGTGATCGACAGCACTGTCAATGCTTTGAACGAGCTGATTGCTGCATTGAACTTGAAGGTGACCAGTTTTGAGAACCACCAAGTTGTGGAATCATTGCAGAAGAGCCTGCTGCTGTTGGCCGAGAAATACCGCGCCATCAGCTTATCCAAGAGCCAGGAAGAGGCCAGTCTCGACGACAAGCTAAAAGCTCAGCTGAGCGAGAAGGAGGTCGAGCTGACCGAGGAGTTTGTGCAAAAGCTCGAAGAGGCCAAGAAGCAGATCGAGGAACGCCATTTACAGCAACTGAGAGTCGAGGTGGAGGCCGCCAGACAGAAGATCGAGCTCGAGGCGGCCAATCTGATAGAGCAGACGAAGTTGGCAGCCATTGACGAGTTCAATAAGGTGATCGGCCAGAAGATCGATTCGGAGAGAAATGCAAAACTCAAGGGATTGGACGCTTTGGCTGCCAGAGTGGCCGAGATTGAAAACTACGAGCTCGAGCTCGGCAAGAGTGCCGGAGCGTACCTCTCGTACAAAGAAATCAAGAAAAGCATCAGCTCGTTGCAGAAACTGCTTTCCACGAACGAAAGCTCTCCTAAACGTGGCGAAGAGCTCGTTGCCGAGCTGACCAAACTGAAACAGCTCGTTGCTCCTCTGGACAACCAGCTGATCACACAGGCTGTGGCTGCTCTACCATCGAACGACACGCTTTTGAGAAGCGGAGGGGTGCTAACTCAATCCCAACTGATCTCTAGATGGGAGCTGCTTTTGCCAGAGCTGAGATCTGTGTCTCTGCTTCCACCGAACGCCGGTCTTATTGGCCACATTTCGTCGCTGGTCTTTTCGAAATTGCTATTTGCCAAGTCTGGCAAGCCTGTCAAAACCGAAGATGAGCTGATTGGCAACGACATCGAGTCCGTGATTGCCAGAGTGAACACTTACCTCGTCAAGAACGAGCTGGACAACGCCGTCGAGGAGGTGTCCAACATGAAGGGGTGGGCCAGAAGACTTGCCGACGATTGGCTGGTCGAGAGCAGACGCAAGCTGGAGCTACAATTTTTGATCGATTTGGTCGACACCGAGGTGAATGTCAGTTTGTAGAGAAATATAGAAATAAATGAAAGGCACACTATAGCATTAATTATTTTTTCTAATTATTTTTCCATTTGTGTATTTTATTTACTCCCATGACCGCTGCGCCACAGGTTTACGGAGCAGACGAGATCAACGCCATTGTGATCGATCCCGGATCGTACCAGACGAAAATTGGCTATGCGGGCTACGACTCGCCCAGCATGGTGCTTCCCTCGTATTATGGCCTGGTCGACACGGACGGCAACAAGAGACGCATTTTCGACGAGACTTTGCTGTTATTGCCGCAGAAAAGCCTCGAAATCAAGCACATTGTCGAAAACAACGCCGTGGTCGACTGGGAGGGCTTCGAGGCACAATTGGGGTACATGTTTGAGAAACTGGACATTGATCCTACTCAACAGCCTGTGCTGCTAACCGAGTCCACCATGAGCTCTTACGAGAGCAAAGTCAACGCGCTGAAGCTGTTTTTGGAAAAACACAAGTTCCCTGCGTTCTACCTTGTGAAACAACCCACAACGGTGTCTTTTGCGCACGGCCGTCCCAACTGTCTCGTGGTGGACGTTGGCCATGATCTTGTCACTGTGACTCCCATCGTGGACGGGTTGTGTCTGAAAAATCAGGTCATGGGCACGCGGTATGCGGGGGCTTTTTTGAACCAGCAGTTTGAGCAGTTTCTACAAGACAAGAAGATCGCGTTGCGGCCTCACTACATGATTAAATCGAAAAAAATAGTTCACTGGGAATCTGAGACGACCACGGCGCAGTTTGAGGAGCGGAAGTACGATTTCGAGGTGTCTGGGTCGTTCCTCGAATACTCCAAGTTGAGGATCCTTCAGGAGATGAAGGAGACGCTACTAAACTGTATGGACGATGACAGCGAGGAGACCCAGGAGGCCAAGGAGGCCGACGACGAGGTGCGGTGGTTTGAGTTGCCTGACGGCATTTCAGTTCCGTTTTCGAAAAAAGACCGCACCATACTGAGCAACTCGCTTTTCAGTCCGCTCGAAACCCTCTCTAAGCCCGTCAAGGGCTGGGAGACGCCTGAGGACGGCAATATTGTCAAACATTTGGGCAACGCAAACGAGGCCAGCAGCAAGGAATATGTGCCTATGAGAAGAGCAAAGAAACCAGAGGATGAAGACAAGGACAAGCCGGAGGAGGACTCCGCCGAGGCCCAGAAGGGCTTTGGACTGCTGAAGCTGGTTCAGACCGTTCTGGACCGGCTGGATATCGATCTGAAGCCACAACTGGCTAACAATATTGTCCTCGTGGGCAGCACGTCGCTCGTGCCGGGACTGAGCGCCAAACTGCACTCCGAGTTGTCGCTGGCCAATCCTAGTCTCAAAATTAGGATCCACGCTTCTGGAAACACCATAGAAAGAAGATACGCCTCGTGGGTCGGGGGCAGTATTTTGTCATCGCTCGGGACGTTCCACCAACTGTGGGTCAGCAAAGGCGAGCTGGACGCGGTTGGGGCAGAAAGGCTAATTGTCAATAGATTTAGATGATTAATTACATGTATCCACCGATATGCCAGTATTTCACCAGGTCGAGCCACGAAGCGACACGCAGCTCGTCATCGTTGCTATTGCGGCCACGCCAAATCTCAAAGAGCGCCTGTTTGCCGATCCAGCGGTCGCCTGCGTCGAACGCCGTGCGGCCAAGAATGTCGTAGCGGGTCTGGAGCTCTTCGTCCAGGGCGTCGGAGCCTGACAGGAAAAAGCACCAAAACGGCAGGTTTACACGCAAGTCGGCCGTCCGACGCACGCGCAGCTTCAAGTTCCACAGGGCCTCCAAATGGTACAACGTGGACGCAACGTGGCTCTGCAGCTGGTTGGGATGCAACTCTTTAATTATGCGGTAGAAAAACATAAGCGTGGTGTAGTAAAAACATACCGTCAGATGGTACACGCTCTCGTGCAGGGGGCTGTAAAAATACAGCACGCCGTCGCGCTGCTCGTACAGCACCCATGGAAGCTTCCAGTTGCGCAGGTCCTCTTCCAGGTCGCAGCACTGCTTGGGGAAATTGCGTGGGTACACTTTTTTCCGCAGAATATAATTTCTGTGGTCGGACAGCTCCACAGTGCGTTCCATCAGCTCGAGCAGACTACGGGGGATTCCGAAATTGAGCTCGATTGGAGAGATTGGAAGGTCTGCAATAGGAAGACTGAACCGAATGGGCTCGCCTTCGTTTTCATGCTCATTGGCTTCATCGTCTTCTGACTCCATTTGCTCGCCATACGTAAATTGCACAACGTATTTTCGCGGAGGTTTGTCCTCAACAGGCGGTCGCTGCGCCAGCCTGCGCGGCACGTTGCTGAGCTGAAGCTGTTCCCAGCTCTCCTCGACGACCAGCTGCTTGATTTCGATTTTTGTCGGGTCCTCCATTGGCAGAGCCACCTCCTTGAGATCCAATTTTTCCTCCTCTAAATGGTAGTTCTCGATATCGATGATCGAAGTCGACTTGAATAACATGTTCAGGTACCGCAGCCACAGCATGAGGTCTTTCGTGCTGCTCTCCAGCTCGCGAGTCTCAAGTAACTTGCCGATACCGCTCGCAACACCGTACAAAAACTTGTAGTTATGGAATATGCTCATCGACTCGTCCAGTTTGATGGCCATCAAGATCACCATCAGTAGCTGGTCAATCATGCCGTTGTGCAGCATCGTGTCGAGCAGCTCGTCGTTCGTCACTTCTGGACGTTCGCCCTTCATGCTCACCAATGGACTCAAAACACGGCTCAGGTTGGCCAAACTAGCCTCACGCAAATAAATGAACGAACGCAGCAGAGACATCGAGCTCTCGTGTTCCCCAGATATGTCAAAAAGCGCCTGGTATCTGCCCAGCGTCGATATTGCCAGCGACTGCAGCACAAACGTCTGTTTCAGCAGGTAGAACACATTGTTGTGTCCTGATTTTCGGGCTTTTTGCACCACTAACTCGCCCACGTCGCGAAGCAGAGTCGGCACCACAAGCTTGTCCAGAATGCTGCCTTTATAAGCCACAAACATCAAGCTAGTACACTGTCGCGGAAACTGCTGGATCCAGCTGCGTGTCTTGGGGTGCTCGAGAAAATCTAGAAACACATCGTCCGTGTTCTGAGGACCCAGCTCCCACACTAATTTTTTCAGATACCTTTCCGTTACTGCCTCCATCTCGGAATCACTCAACATGATACGGTCCACAAGCCTGTTACGAGGCGTGTTGCCATAGTACTCGGTGAAAATCTCCCGCTTCACCATCTCCCAATCGTTGGTGCTGACCATAGCGTCTCCAATCATTGTTCGGTAGGTCAAAAGCGCATCGACTTGCAACCGCGGGTGTAGCCACAGCTCCCGAGGAATAATTGTCTCAAATGTTGGAGCAACAAAAGACGACGGTGCTGCAACAAAGGCTGGCCGCTCCACCCTGTCTTCTTTGTTTAACCGGAACACTCCAAAGGGCCCTATGAATTTCTCCTCGCTGTTATCAATCTTGTCCAAATCAGAGTCCATGTCCTCTGGAAATAAATACCCATTGCGAAATGTCATGAAGGGAACATGTCTGCGCTGATGCTGGACAACAGGACCGCCTCCACTCACCTCAAGGCCCCTTGGACCAGCGATAAGATACTCGTAGAAACGAAGACGAATCCCGTATCCAAGACACTCGACATTGGCCTTTTGGCAGCGCAAACATTGCGGCCGTCGACCGTCACACTTGACCTTGCGATTTCGACAGGTGTCGCACCCAGTGAAAGTCCGTCGCTTGATCGGAGCCATTACTAAAAAAATGGTGTAGAGTTTTATTCCAGTATAATTAATTAATGCTTAGTGTTCCTACTCACTGATAGCCAGGTCTTCCTCGAGATCCACGTGGCGGAGCTTCTTGCGGCCCGACTTGGTTGGAGATAAAGAGTGCTTGCGTAGGGGCTCTGTCTCGACGAGCTTGTTCGTTGGCTTCAAAACATCGTTCTGACCTTGGCTCTGATTATGGCCGTGCTCGCCCTTGTCTGTCTTCTTGCTCTTCTTCTTGCGTCCAGGCGACTTGCGCACCGAAGACTCTCTTTGCGGAGAGTGGTCCTCGAAAATGGAGATCGGCATGGTCATATTCGTCGTGTAAAGATCGGTGGGGAATAAGTATGGAGACTTGGTTGGAGCTTTAACTGGAGACTCGGACGGTGTTTTGGCACGGTCTACGGAGTCCAGCACATTCATCTTGGTCTTCACGGACTCCAGTTGCGACCTCAGGTTTCTGATATCGTTCTTGCTTTTTGTCTCCACCTGCGCAAGCTTGTTCTGTAGATCCTCTACCTCCCTTTTCTTGGACTCTAACTCTTTTGCCATCTCCTCCGTGCTATGATTCATCTCCGAGATCTGCTTGTCATGCGTATCTTGGAATTCAGACATCATGATGTTGTTCGTGTCTAGCTCCTTGATCAGAGACTTAATGCGTTCACGAAGAGGCGCCATCTGGTTCTCATGTTCGGCCTTCAGCGACTCAAGCTCATGTTTATGCTGCTCCTTGAGAGATTCGACAGTTTGTTCGTGTTGGCTCTTCAAAGTCTGGGTGTCTTTCTCGTGCTCAGATGCGAGGTTCTTGGAGTTCTCCTGCATCAGGTTTTTCAGAGATTGAATCTCTTGTTCACGCACTTCAAGCTCGGTTTCTAGTTTCGTTTGGAACTCCTCCTCTAGCTTCTTGGATTTGAGTTCGAATCCCAGCGAGCTGCTTGATATCTCTTGTTGCAGCTTGGAATTATTCTCCCTCAATTCACTTATTTCAGACTCCTTCAAGGCGAGCTCGCAACCCATCTTACGACCTTGCTCTTCTGCTTCTTGGACCATCTTGCGCAACCTGTCAGTGTCTTCAAGAGACAAGTGGAGCTCTTGTTGAGCTTCCTTTATTTTCTGGTCATGCTGGTCCTTCAATTCATTCATTTGGGTTTCCAAACGCTGATTCAGTTGCTTCAGCTGCTCGCACTCACTCTTGAGCTCCTCAACCAAAGCCTTGGACTTTTGAATTTCGTCATTCTTCAAGCTCACCTCCCGATCAAGTTTTTCCTGATAACATTGGGACACTTCTTTGAGCTTAGAATTTGTCTCAAGTTCGTGCTCCTGGTTTAGTTGGAAGATCTCATTGTTGTGTTCCACAGCTATCTGGTTCAGTTTGGCCTCATTCTCCTCATAGAGTTGCTGACGAACACGAACTTCCGTTTGCACCACTTCTTCTTCAAGCTTAGCCACTTTGGTTTCCAGCTTCTGCTGGTATAGCTTCAGGGTATCCAACTGGCATAGCAGCTCATGTTGAGCTTTACTATCAACAGCCGCTTTAATATGAGAGCATGCAGAGGAAGTATGCCTAGGAATTTGCTGATACTGAACTGGATTAACGTATCTCAAAGTTTGAAGAATCAGGCCCTCATCTCCAGCAGGATCTAAATTGACAATAATGGAGATTAAGCTTTTGCTCTTGACATAGTCATGAAAAAGCAGACGAGTTAATTTGTTGGTGCGCAATAGAGACTTGTTGAATTGCTTGGTGGCAACAAGCTCCAAGCATCTTCCAAGCTGCGTAAGTGAAGCATTAGTGAAGCCTCCCTCCCTCAAATTCAGACCGCTTGTCATAGATAGCTTCGATCTTTCCAGGCCAGCGAGATCTGCGAGAGTCAGTCTGGAACTATTGACACTTTTACCCGAGATGCGAACAACATTGATAAACACAAAACAATGAGATCTCGAGGAGTCTCTGTTGATATGGGTAGTGCAGGTTTTCCGATTCGAAAGCCCACGGTTCAAAGTTCGGATTGAGCTTTCAAAGTCGCTCACCATGAATTGAGACAGATTATAAGGCTTCAGCTTCTGGTCCACAGGGTCGGTGACGATGTCGAGGAAAGATTTCGTTTTTTTGGTAGTGGAGTTCATAAGCAGATCTTTGATGTTGTCGTTGTAGATTTCAAACATCGATAACGTGACTGCATACTCAGAGTCCACAAGCCTCTGCTGAGAAGTGTTACCGTTCCACAAATTGCCCACGAGACCTGCCAGCCTTTTGTGATCGGTGCTGATATCTCCATATTGAGACAGACTATCAAACACATACCGAAGAGAGTTCACAGCAAGGCCCGTTTCTGGATCGAACATAGTATGAGTCTTACCAGAATTAGATGGTCCTAGGGTAAAAAGCAAGCAGTCTTGTCCCTTGAACAGCCGGTCGTCCAAAATAGGTCTTCCTACGGTTTCAAACAGACATTCAGGCTCTTGTGAGACAGATTTGAAGTCAAACGATGCATCGAACTTGGACAACGCTATTTGGTTTGGATTTGTCTCACTCCTTGTGAAAACAGGGACAGAATCCCCCGAAAACTGTCTTGTTCTCAAGTGAAGGTCCATGTTTATATTTGTTTGTTTATTTTTTTCTTATTAAGTTTTGAGGAAAAGAGGGATCAAAAAAAATGATTCAAAAGTTAGGGAGCTAGCGTTTGTCTACCAAGCAATATTTGAGCTCATGGAGTTATGGTGCACTATTTCAAAGGGTCTTAGGATTATGGGAAGTACCGTTCCCGCTTTTATGTCCACCCAACGACTAACCCAGACACGGTTTATCTGATTTCCCGCGTAGCATTTTTCTCTGTCTGCTGTATCATTTCTTCAATTACATTGGTAGGTGTGTTCTACCTGTGGATTGACTCAAAATCACTGATAGAGTGGATTGCACGCAATTACCAAAGGGTTTACTATGGAGACGGAAACTAAGAGTCGATCGACGCAAAAATAATTTGCTTTAATTTTGTTAGCAAAATATGGGTGAGACCGATAGGAAAGAGGCGGCCGTGGAAAAGCAGCAGCTTGATTCAGAGCCTGAAGCAGTTCAATTACCAGAAAAGAAGAGGCCGATTGATGAAGAAGAAAAAGGTGACGTGAAAAGAGCAAAGAGCCTGAAGAAGAACGAAGAGACGCAGGAAGAGAAAACGCAGGAAGATGACACAAAAGATACAGAGACAGAGGAGAATAGCGCTCCTCGCGAGACAAATAAAAATTCTGATGCGATAGACGAAAAGACAGAGAAGCTAGAGTCTAAGTTTGTATTTGGTGCCCGGACAACGTTTGGACAAGCCAGTGGATTCTCTATGCTGTCGAAAAAGAACGTGTTCGAGAAACAAGACGATAAAGATAAGGACAAGACAGAGGAAAAGAAAGAAGCACCAAAGAGCGTATTTGGTACCGGGTCAACTTTTGGAAATGCGTTCCAACATGCAATTGGCAAGAAATCGATATTTGACGAGCCACAGGAAAGCTCTGCAGAGCCCGAGGACAAAGAGGTCTCGAAGGAGGTTTACAAAAAGGTCCACCTTGAGAAACAAGAAGTCAAGTCAGGAGAAGAGGAAGAGGAGACCTTGTTCCAGGTTAAAGCCAAATTATACCACATGGATTTGACCAAGGTTTCTGATGGGTGGAAGGAAAAAGGGGTTGGCATCTTGAAAGTGAACAAATTCATCAACCCAATCAAACATTACCATGCTCGGCTTGTCATGCGTCAAGACGGTATATTGAAGCTTATTTTGAACGTGCCAATTGTGAAGGGAGTGGAGGTTTTCAAAGGAATGGCCAGCTCGTTGAACAGCGATAAGTTCATTCGGGTTCAGGTTGTTGAGGACTCAAAACCGGTGCAGTACGCATTTAAGATTGGTATGGTCGAGAATTCATCAAAACTCTACAACGTGATCGAAAAGCTGGTAAAGGAAGTGAATTAGCGTTACCTGCGTTTAAATGCAACAGTACATATGGCAGAGCCTTTAACCCCGCCAAACTCGAATACCGGGTACTCGACAGTCTTCCAAACCTCAAAGTTGCCTGAAGAAGTTACTACCTTGATCAGCTCGTCTTGGGTAAAATTGCACGACGTCACCAGCAACACTGCATTTTTTTTCAGCAAGACTTTCACCGTGTCTGGATACACTTCCTGTCCTGTTTTGCCGTCATACAGGTTATTGCTGAGGGCAATCGCATCCAACGTGCCCTTGTCCAAAACCAGGTCGAAATTTCCCGCATTGGTCTTGAGAAACTGGTCTTCCAGATTGAGTATATCGCTTTGATAGAATTCTACATTCAAATCGTTAGTTTCTGCGATGGTCCTGGCAAACTGGACGCTGGCCTCGCTGTAGTCAACTCCCACGAGTTGTCCCTTCCAGCCCTCTTGAAGGATCTCGAAAAGGAGATGTCCATTTCCCGTGCCAAGATCGCAGACAGAGACATTAGGATCCAGATTCGAGAACACAAAGTCTACAATTTTCTCCTCGGCCCCAGAGTCTGCAAACCAGCATTCACCCGTATCATCTGGGTTTTCTGCAAAGTTCTCCTTCTCTAGTTTGTAGAAATTGTCCCAGTATTCCTTAGTGCCTAGTTTCGAATGGTTGAGTTTAGTAGTGTCCATTGGTTTTGCAAGAAAAAAAATATTGCGTCGATCGTCTCAACATGAAGCCACAACGAAGCGTGGATTACGGCGAGTGAAGCCCTAGCAGTGGCTGGCTTTCACCCAATTCAGAGCCATGCCGGATGTAATTACCCTTTTGACCTGGTTCGCTCCAGTTCGCCCCGACCAGGTCGATTCTCGATAAGCTCTTTCTCCATTTGGAAGTGGGATGCGCGGGATGGCCCGAGGATTTTGGTATATATTTTATTGATAACGTAGTACAAATATGTACCGTTTATCTTGGGCTAAACAATCGAACAGCACATTTTATAGAAGCATGTCCACCGTTAAGGTTCTCAGATTTGGACCAATCAGATACGCCCAGGAGGCGTGGCAGAAGCTCGAGCAGAAACCCAACGTCGAGGTGGTGGAGAGCGGGGCTTCGTCCAGAGAAGAATTCCTCAAGGAGCTCAACGATGGCAAGTTCAAGGACGTGAGCATCATTGCGAGAACGTTTGAGAGTGTCAAACAGACTGGACTGCTTGACAAAGAGTTACTCGCCCTGCTCAAGGAGAAGACCTCTCTCAAGGCCATCTCGCACAACGGTGCTGGGTATGACCAGGTGGATGCTGTTGAGTGCGGCAAGCTTGGAATCCAGGTGTCTAATGTGCCATCTATTGTCGACGCGGCTACTGCAGACACACACATTTACCTTCTTTTGGGTGCATTGAGGAATTTCCAGGACTCGACGCTGAGATTGCTGCAGGGTAAGTGGCCGACTGAAAAATGTGCCGGCACTGCAGTTGGCCACGACCCTGAAGGCAAGGTGCTTGGAATCTACGGAATGGGCGGCATTGGCCGTGCAGTGAGAGACAGGGCCAAACCTTTTGGGTTCAGAAAGATTCTCTATCACAACCGGAACCGTCTTGCTCCGGAGTTGGAGCAAGGTGCCGAATACGTGAGCATGGACGAGCTTCTGCGCCAGTCGGACGTGATCTCAATCAATATTCCGCTCAACAGCGCCACAAGACATTCGATCAACAAGGATACTATTGCCAAGATGAAAGACGGTGTGGTGATTATTAACACTGCCAGGGGCCCTATTGTGGACGAGAACGCCATCTTGCCGGCCCTCAAGAGCGGCAAAGTGGGTGCTTTCGGATCGGACGTTTTTGAAAATGAGCCTCACGTCAACATGGAGCTGATCCGGCAGCCAAACGTGGTGTCGCTGCCTCATATGGGAACACACACGGTCGAGACGATGAAGGCCATGGAAGAGTTTGTTGTGAAAAACGTCGAGACTTTTGTTGACCAAGGCAAGGTGCTCTCGATTGTTCCTGAGCTGAAGGGTAAATTCTGAGTGGCCAATGTTGATTTACTGCTGCACAGGGCCCATATAGTGAAACATTTTTTTAAAAAAATATATGATTCTCACTCCGCAGCGATTAATACGGTTATCCAATGCCCCACGACTGGGCAATATGTGGTATCTGATAGCGACGGTCACGCTGACAGTCTGCAACCAGCCCCAAGAGATCCCTACATTGTACCACTACGCTCTCCACGTGAATAACGGGCTGGGCAAGCCGTCCGAGGAGCTGTATCACCGCGTGGTGCAAACGATCGAATCTGTCTCGGCCGACATCAACAGCTGTCCGTACGAGATCAAGTCCGGGATGAAGCTGTCTGATAAATTCAGAGAAAGCATTCTCAAGACGGCTGCGTTGAGCGGATTGCCTAAAGCCATCAACTCTCTAATGATCTTGAGAGAAACTACGCCCAAACCTCTGCGTGCGACCGGCGATGTGAAACGACAATCCATTGAATCGTTTGCAGATTACGAGGCAGAACAGGACCGGGGGATAAAGTTCTGGAAAACCATCTACAGCAAGATAAGCGGACGTGTCATCAACCAGATGAGCTCGTCATATCCAGATCTATGGACATATACCATCCAGCATGTCTATTCGCCTCTACTGTCGTTTTCAGATGTGCTGACTCCACAGGAAACCTCTATGATTGTGATATCGTGTCTTATCCCGCAAGACGTGAACCCGCAGCTCAAGGGTCATCTGAAAGGCGCGCTGAACCTAGGCCTGGATCTGGAAACGGTGAGGGAGTGTCGTGAGTTGGCCATCGAGATCAGCAAATGGTGCGGCATGGTGTGGAAAGCAGACGTTGCCAAGCTCTAGCGTCGGCTACGATTCGCCAACTTCCATCTTTTCCAGGCCTTCAGCTTGCTGAGTAGCCGGAACCTCTTTTTCCTTCTGGGGCCTCCCTACATTGAGAAATCCATTCATCTCCTCGTCACTCTTGCCAAACAGCTGGTGCCAGAACCGCACATTGTTATAGTTGGGATATATTACTTCGTGCTCCTCGTGGTAGCCAGGATTACTGAACTCTCGCTTTCTGCTCTTGAAGTAGTTCCACACCGACTGGGTCCTGCTTTCAAGCTGTAGCTCCTTCTTCTCACGCTCGCAGTCGTACAGAAACGTTCCGTACTGACAGGAGTACAGATGGTACACGAGACGACGCAGAAAGCGCTCGTTAAACTCGAACTTCTCTGGATGCTGGCGTAGCAACTGGTACACACAGTCGAGGAACTGCTGGAACACGGGGCTTTCCAACTTTGTATTCTGCTGATGCTTGAAATGCTGGTTGAGCTGCTTAAGTTTTTGGAAGTTTGTGTCCTGCGTATAGTTGTAAAACTTGGTTTCTCGTTGCAGATGGCCGCACCGCTCGTTAAAACGATGGCCAAAAGAACACCAGTCTTTTTCGACCAGAACCACAAATCCATCCATAGTGCGGAAATACGGGTCAAGACAGAGCTGCACGAGCGACGCCACCTGCGACGTTCTGTCCCAGCCGTCAGAACAGTGCAGCATAAGATGCATTCCGTTGAGGTGGATCGATTTAACGAGCAAGTCTGTAGCCTTGAGCAAATTTGAAATGTGATCGAGCCACCCCGATTTGATCAACAGCTCAGGATTGTACAGCCGCGTTGACACATCGCTGTTTTTCAGCACCTCCTTTATTTTATTTAGGCTTTCTCTCATGACGTGAATATTTTCGATGTTGAGAAACACCTTTTTGCAATTGGGATAATTTTCCATCACCTCCGTGCCGGCGCCCAGAGCTGCCTGGGCCATTGCATTGGTCATTGGTCGTGCGTCGACAATCAGATTGGTGGTTGTCTGGTGCCCATTCGTCGCAAAAATCTCTGTCAACAGTTTTTCGTCCTGCAACGACCGATTCTGCTTGAGTCCTGTCAGTGGTTGCGCACTGCGCACAATGCACGCCCCGTTCTCCTTGTAGTAGTATGTCAATGCTGGAAATCTATTCTTGGACCTGAAGCTCACGGAATGCGCAAGAACGGTGTCGCTGATGCTTCGCGGGACCACCGTGTGCGACGGATAGCTCTGACAAAGCCGATAGTCGCTATTGAGCGTCGACAGTCGCCACGGGCCCGCCACCATGTCCAGGCCCTGTCTCTGGAACTCACTGCGCACTTGGTAGTCATTCCAGCCGTTAAACGCAACCTCGATCTTGATGGGCGTGTAGATAAATGCGTAAACTTTGTCTATGTCATCGATACACGTCAACTTCATGATGCTTTCAAATACGTCCTGACACTGGGACAGATCGGCAAAATCGAACGCCAAATACGTAAAGTCGCGACATCGCACCCTCAGAGACGCACCTCTGCACAGAGACGGATGTGTTTCCGCATCCAATAGGTATAATTGGGACGACCCTCTGTTGAGCTCGACCTTCTCGATCATCGGATAACAGCACCACAGCTCTCTCATGCCGGACGCCGACGGCGGGAGGGTGAAGATCAAGTGGTGTGTAGTTAAATGCAGCGTGCCTTTATGCGAGACTCCACGTCGAAACAGCAGAACATCGTCCACCTTTGTGATTTTGATGTATTCCATAAAAAGATAAGATTTAATAGCTGAAAAACAATTATTTCTATTATATCACTCCTTCCATTCCGCCATCCACCGTCTTGCCAGTTCGTCCTTGATCCACCTGCTCTTGTTTTTCCAGCTGCCCATCGACCAGAAATGGTGCTGATTGAACACGGGAGCCTGTTTAGCTGGCTCCGGCTCTGTCTTTTTAGTGCTCTCAGCAGCATCCTCCGACTTTGCTTTTTCCCACGGCCGAACCATCTGCGGTCCGAGCCACTGTCCCGTGCGCCAGTGGCGGCCATATGTCATCTCATATATCCGGCTCACCGCACGCTTGTATGCAAACATCTCGTCCTCACCGGTAAATTTGCCAATATCCTTGAAATTGGTCTCCACTTGGCTCTGTGTGAACTCGTTCTTACCCTCCTCGTAGCTCTGCACGTTCGGCCGATATGGGTTCTCCAAATACAGCTGTGTGCGTGCAAACATCTCTTCCTCGAGAATCTGCTGGTTGTTGGACCGCCCGTCGTCTGTTTGGCGCATATCCGGGAAGAACAGACGAGACGGCTCAACGTCCATGCAAAACACCACGTTGCAGCGTGCTTCGTACAGAGAGTCGAGCAGCGTGATGAACCGTCTGGCTTCGCTCCTTTTTTTCGTCGTCAAAACGGGTATTTGGTCCACCACCAGTGTGTGGAACCTTGCAGCCAAAGAAATGTATTCGCTGGGGCCGTAGTACGAATCGCCGCACAGCTCGTCGAACTTGAAAATAGCAACGCCATCTGCCTGCGCAGGAACGCGGATGTGGCGACCGTAGCTCAGAAAGTGCGTTTCTGTAGGTTTCTCGGTCACCACCGAGTCCAGCAGTTCTTGCCATTTTTTTTCGTGCTCCGGGTGCTCTTTCACCACAAGATGCGGCCGACAACCGCGGTCAATCAGCTGCATCCGGTAGTCACAGTCGCTGTTCATGTCGAATACCTGGCAACGCATCTTAAGAACGCGCTCGAAGCTCTGGAACTGCGTCTTGTTGAAGTCTGTCGAGTACAACTCCTCGGGCAGTCTGTTGGAGGTTGCTACCAATACTCCACCAAGCTTGAAAAAATACGTGAACAGAATCTTGACGATTTTGGCCGACGCCAGGTCCGGCAGCATGAACTCGTCCAGCATCAGCACATAGTGGTTGCGGATCATTTTCGAGGCCACCTCGAGCAGAATAAACTCGTTTTCCAGCCACAGAAAGCTGTGTTTGCTATGACTCTCGCGTTTGCGGCGCTCATAGATCGAATGGATCTCTGCGTACACCCACAAAATGAAGTTGTTGTAGTGGATGCGCAGCTTTCGCTCGACAGGAAGCGAGTCGGCAAAAATATTGAGCAGCATCGACTTACCGCACCCAACCTCTCCATTCACCAGAAGTCCCTGGGGAGCCGGAATGTTGTACAGCTCTTCCTCGTCGCTCAGCACGCGTACAAGCTCTTTACGCTCCTTCTCGGCCTTGCGGTCGCCCCAGACTTGTCTGTAGCCGATGGTGCGGTATAGCAGCCCCGCGTGTTGCTTGTCGTACCGCATCTCCAGCTGTCTCACGAGATTGTTCATCTGGAGCTCCTTATCGTCAGGAACGTAGTCTCTGAGCCGGAAGTAGAGCTTCTGGAACTCCAAGGCGGCGCGGTGTTGATGCACATCTGGCTGCAAAAGGTCTGATGCAAGATAGGCTCTATAGATCTGGTACGGGTCGGTCAAAACGAGGTCTGAGGGCCCTGGAGGCTCTGGCGCTCGGCGAAATGGAAGCGTGTCGACATGAAGTCGGCGCAGGCAAGCTTGCCGCGTCAGCGGGACAGCCGCTTTGAAAATATTAAACATGACTTTCGCACTTTGCGGACAAGACAAGATAAATTCAGGCACTGATTTATATAATAATAATTCGTACTGACAGAGGTAAGAATCTTTTTGTCATAGATCTCGTACATAACGCCAGACTGCTTGATTTGCCAATCGGTATGGCCTTCATAGCTGTATGCTTTGCTGTCTTTTCATCACCCAGAGCTGGCAACCGCAAAAGAGGAAGAACAGGACATAAAGACCGACTGCTCCAAACACTGTCTTGGCCACACTGCGGTTAGTAGAGCACAGTTGCAGAAAAATACTCACGCCTTGCCGTCTTCCGGATCGTTGATCGAGCCCATCATGGTCTCATGGTTATTGTAAAATAAAGCTCCGATAATAGACAATATCACTATCCCAAAAGCGGAGATCAGTGTGCAGGCCCACGCGCTTCCAGACTGCTTGTTAGCAAGATGTAATCCGGAGTACTTACCGACACAACCGGTTTCATTCTGCTGTCTACCTATCTATAGTTTAATTTTGTAACATTAATGGTTCCGGGTAACATTAGCTTTTTATTTTCCTGAAATACATATCGTCACTTTTCCAAAGGGCCTAGTTTGGCTTCGGGAAACCTTCCTGATCTACGCTGATCCGTGCCTTCTTGCGCAATCGCTCCAGTTCCTCGCTGTCTCTTTGACTACCTTTTTCCACCACCAGATTTCGGAGCAGACGGTTCTCCATTTCGAGCTGTTGTATTTTTAATTCGAGATTTCTCGATAGGTCCGTAAGTTCTTTCAGTTTTCTCTCCATCTCCTGCTCTTTCAACTTCTTCTTGATCCTGAACCGCGCAGATGCCGCCGTATTGCGTCTTCTTTTATCTGTTTCCACGTACTCCTTAGGCTCAGATGAATACACGTCCGGCGAGACAGTAGACGACATGGGCACGATTTGCGAGCTGGAACTGGCCTCCAGCGGTTCGAACGACGACACCTGGGCGCCCGACGCCGAGCCGTTCTGAGATCCTGAGCTCGACTGTGAAGAGGAATTTTCTCGTTGGATGATGTCGGGTTTGTGGTAGGCTATGAGTGTCGCAAGCGCCTCGATCTGCGTTTGTGAAAGGCCAGCAGCGGACAGAGTATTTTGCGCCCCGCGGGGCACTGTCACTTTCGGAAGACTGGACTCAGAGCTCAGTTCTGGTTTCTGCGCGGAACCGGCAGGCACATGGTCATTTTGAAGCTGCGAATAGGGTCTTTGCAATAACTCGGATATGGTGGAAGGGATGGAGCCCTGGGCGCCGTCAGAGGACTCGAAGTGGTCGAAATGATCGTTGTTGTTGCTGTTGGAATATTCCACCTTCAACTTTGGTTTTTCCTCGTCGGGGAAAATGAACGAATCATCGGCAAAAGCAGCAAGCTCGACGCTGAGCTGGTCGTCGAAATTAGGCTCGGCAGAGAGGTCGTTCTCGTCAGCGTTGTTCATGAAGTTGTCCACATAGACAAGTTGCTCTAATAGAGCCATCGGGGTATCGTCCGGCATACTCGTGTTTGACGAAGAAGCGCCCTGTTGTACGTTGCTGAAGTCTTGGGAGTTCACGAAACCAGACATGGTTATATATCGAAACCACGTGAAAAAGGGCAACGGATTATGATGCTTAATCGAATGATTAGTGAAAATTAGTAGCCACAATATTTGGCCGGGTAAGACAAACGTCACGAGCCATACTGCGCCACACATGGGAAATAACCGTCTAGCAGATAATAGTAGTACACAGTCTATGCAATCATAAATCGTAACTGAACCAGCGTTCAGTGATAGAGGAGCTCTCCCAGTCAATCGGAGACAGAAGAGCTTCTACGCCAGCGTAATTTCTTGCCCCACTTTGCCCAGGATGACCCTGAACCGCTCTTAGCGGAGGAGATAGAGGAGAAGCTTTGGTTTCTCTGTGTTTTGCCCGGCGCGCGCTCGTTGGTCTCGTCCCGCTCCAACGTATCGTCTTCTTCCGACGAGGATTCCACAGTAACAAACATTTTTTCTAGCACCTGTCGGGTGAATTCCTGGTAGGAGTCGTGAAGATAGTGTTTCGTTATGGAGAGAAATCTCTGCAGAAGACTGATTTCGGGTATCGTAGACCCCGAAAGACCAGCTTTCAAGTCTCCAGGGAGATTGATCTCGCTTGAGGCGTTGTTCTCGAAATACTCCTCGTAGAGTATCTTCCACACGTTGCGATCAGTGTTATGGTTTTCGATGAAGAGCTGAAGCGACTGGTAAAACTCAAGGTTCTCTAAACAGTGTTTGTTGAGCAAAAACTTCGAAAAAGCTGACTTGGAAAAAAGCGAGTCCGAAGGCACCTTGTTGCCCAAAACCGAGTCTAATTTCGGCACCATAGGTTCCACCGACGAGGACACGTTGGTGCCTTTCGGAGCAAGAAACGTGAACTTTGACTCCGTTAGTGACAGCATGAATAAAGGGGTTGAGAATTTTCGCGGAAAACCTTTATATATATTAACAGGTTTACTTCAGGGGGAAGGAAGACACTATCGTGATAATAGAGTTTGATATTATCTCACCCAATCCGATGAAAAAGAAATTTGTTTTCTATTGTCAGATTCCTACCTGGTAACGGTTTTCTTAGGACTTTTACCAGCCACTATTGTTTGACAGTTGTACCGCTTTCCTTTTCCGGCAATTCGCTCATGTTCTCCATGCCTGTCAGCACAATTTATGTGTCATGTATGGCGTTTTCGCTCACTTGCCTAATCCGAGTAGCCGATTGCGTGTCCTGACATGCTTGCTATTCCTTGGCTAGCCGTCGCGGTCGCACTCGAAATCATGCATCCCGTTCAAACTAAGGAAACCCTTGTTTGCGTCGGTCTCCACATGCCGGACTAAAAACGGACACCTCGTATCTTGAAGCATAACGAACTTCTCTGCCAATTGTGCGCGCGTGCCTACAAGGTTTCATCTCACACAATGCAAATTATTACTATCTGATGGATCGTACTGCTCATCCTGAGCCTCCACGGCTGCTGCGCTCGCAGGATCCTTCTTCGCTGCCCGAGTATCTCCGGGAACTGAAGAACTCGAAGCTAGTCACGCTTTCGTACATCCCAGCTAGCAAAAAAAAGGCCAGAAAGCATATCGAATCCGGGGTTCCTCATGACATCCCCATCAGCATACTGTCCAAGTCTCCGTCGCTTCTTATTCCAATCAGCACGAAACGTCGTACGCGTGCTCACAAACCAGAAAAAGCCGCCGTGCGACCGCGAAGACCTTCCAGTGCGTCGTTCACAAACTTGACACAAAAACTGGATTTTAGCAGTCTGTTCCCAGATCTCGTCCCGGAACTAACAAGCATCGCGCAAATCGGCCCCGACTGGGCGTTCCACTCCACCAGGATCGCCGTGGTGCTCCAGAATTACGCTTTATTCTACAACTATCTTCGCCAAAAAAGGAAAGAATTGAGAAATATGCACAGAAATATAGATTGAAGCTTTAGTCGCTCAAAAACTCCAACACGTTGTTGATCACATAAAACTCGATGTTCTGGCCCCACACAAGGTCCAGATGCTCGTAGTTCTCCACGCCCACGATCTGCAACTTCTCCCCATCGCTGCTGTTCATCGTATCGTCCACCTTTTGGTTGTCGACCACCTCCACGAGTTCAGGCTTCATTTCCTGATTGTTCAGAACGGATATGTTGTACTCCTCAAACTCAGGAAGCTGCATGGTCATCTGTTGAATGTCCACCAGCGAGTCAGACATGCCGTAAATAAGCAGAATCTTGGACAGCTTGATGTTTGTGTGTATTGGATACTCAAACGCAGGAAATAGTTCAGATTCCTGGTACATCTGAAACCGCTTGGATTTGATGATCTGGAACCAATGGACCACACTCTTCACCGACGTTGTCGAGTACAGGTGAAAGTAGCAGATAAACTTCTGGACTGGGTCGATGTTGAGAGACTTCCAGTCAAACAGAATCTCGTTCGACAAGTCGATGAGTTTGGAGAAGAAAGGTGGATACGTGATCTCTTTCCAGAATAAAACCGACTTCAGAAGAATTTTGCGGCCGAAAAGCAGGTATATCAGCGCTGGCTGGAAGTTCACAATCGAATTGATGAGCCAATTGGACAGTTTCTTCGGCGTTGTGGCGGGAGAAATCAGCACAAGCTTGCTTATTTTCATATTTAGAGGATGGTTGACAGATATAGAGGCAAGAATTTGTGAGCATCCCTGACTGAACCCAACGTAGATCAGTTGTGAAGCGCCATTTATCTCCAGAATATGGTCTATCGACGCTGGAATGTCAAATAGAGCAAACTGGTCAATAGAAAAATCCCAGAAGGCCGCATCATTCACCGAAAGGGAAACGTGGCGTGCAGAGTACTTATTTCCTCTGTTATTACCGAGATAAACATCATAGCCCAGTTCACAGAGCCGGAACGGCAGGTTCTGCCGAGTATCGGCCATGAGCACCCAGATTTCGCTGTTCATTAACAAGCCGTGCTGGAAGTAAACAATTTTACCGTTTGGACGGTACCCGTTCTCATGGGGGTCAAGTCGGTGCACAGTTAAAAGGTAGCCGTCTTTAGTTTGGACGAGGTGGCTCTGTGCCTTAAATCCATGGATGGCACATAGTTGCTCAAAGTATTGCGCTTCACGCAGCCTCTCTATTTTACCGAGTAGTTTGTCCGTCTCTAAATTGTGGCCTTTGAGATAACGATTGTATAGTGGGTTGCTCGAGGCGTGGAGACGGAAGACGAACTTCACCATTGAGGTGAAGAAACTGATCAGACTTTCAGGGAGGAACCATGTAATGCATGAAACAAGCTGCTCTAGTATAATGACCCCGACAGAGGTCAGATCCTCCAGTTTTGGTTTCACTTGTTCAAACATGCTTAGCAGCTAATTATTGTACTTAATTTATTTTATTTTATTTTTGCACAGCCCGCAGGTTCTCGAATTTCATCTCTGGTACACAAAACAATACTTTCTACTTGTTTTTTTATTATGGTTTTTGACCGTTTGCTCTCCAGAAGGCCCTCCAGAAGGGTAAGTGTTTCTAATCCTGTTTGCTAACCATCAGTCGAGAGACTCAGGAGTATACTACTACTCTAGCCCTAACAGCGGAAGTCAGAGCCAGCCTTCTGCTGCATATATGGCAGCTAATTTTGCTACTGGGAATGTCTCCCGGAGCAATTCAATGAACAATCTGTCTAATGCAGCGGCCTCGGCAGCTCTACGCAAACACTCGTCTACGTCCAGTCTGGTAGACCATAGGATCGCTGGCCACCGTACAATGTCGCTAAGCTCCCGCACCTTTCGGGCTCCTGATTCATATGTTAGAAGGTCTAATTCTCTACAATCCGGCTCCTATAACCCTAATGTCTATCGTTCCAACAGTATTACGTCCAGCAGTTTTAAACCGGGCAACTCCCGCACTAATTCCCTGACATCCAATTCCAGTAGATACACCACTGGCTTTACCACCACTACAACCACGACGACAAAAAAATTGCCCTCCAACCGTCACAGCTCGCCGACCACGATTGTAAAGACCACCAAGGAGCAGGACGCAGATGGTAGAACTCGATCGATTACGAAAACCACTATTGAGCAGAAGGACGGTTTTGAAATTGTCAAAACAACAGTCGTGAAGCCTAGTATTGTGGAGAATTACAACGATCTTGGAAGCATTGCAGAAGGATTTGACGAGGAGTTCTATCACGAAGAGGAGCCGCTGCCAAACAACACCCAGGAACTAGAAAACATCCAAGAGGAACCGGCAGAACCCGAGAAAATTGAGCTGATACAGCACGGACAATCTGAACCTGAAACGCACGAGTCTGCAGAATCGGCCAGGACCCACACATACCGCCAGCTCACCCAATCCAAGATCAAGCCACGTACCAGTTATTCGCCTGCACGCATAATCTTAAAGAATCCTGCCCCTGATGACGACTCAGATGGACAATCCATCTACTCTGATGCCAACGAGGCCAATCCTAATACTGTCAAAAATAACTTTAGCGAGAAAGTCACAGAGGAGATTCGATCCTATACCTCGAGCACTGCCGGAAACTCACCTGTGATTCCTCAGAGGTCTGCCTTCAGGGCTCCTTCCGCATTTGGACCTCGTTCCAACAGCATCACCTCAAATACCTCGTCTATGCGCAAGCAGGTGAAGATTCTGGCCGTTGATCCATCTGAGTCCCGCTACAGTTCTTCTCCTCCTGCTCCTGCGGCACCCGTCCACAGACCTACTCCAGAAGAGCTGTATCAGCAGGCTTACCAAGTTGCCATGCAGAAAGTGTACGGAGACCGTCCAAGCAGGCCGTCTGAGTCGGGAAGTGTGACAGAGATGGATGCAGATACACAAAAGAACACATTGCTGAACTCGTCGTCGAGCCAAAACGGCCGCACGATGTCTCTGACCCAGAAACCCGTGAGTCCAGGTCCCGAAATTCCAGCATACCAGTCCAATGCTGCAGGAGTTGGATTTAGAACTCACACATTACGTGGAGAGCTAGATACAAAGGAGGAAAAGAAGTTGAAAGCAGCGCAGCACAAAGAGGAGAAGAAAAAGCTGAAAGAAATACGCAAGGAGCAGAAGGGCGAGCTGTCGGAGCTGAGCAAGCAACGCAAGTCTGCAAGAAAGAACGTTGATGAGCTGAGCGAGAAGAAACGGATTTTCAGTTTCAAGAAAAAAGTTCCCTCGACCACGGCCGAAAACGCTACAGACAACTCAATCACGGTGACGCTTCCCGTGGAAGGAGAGCACACGGACAATGGAAAGCCCCAAAAAAGCGAAAAATCAGGCGTGGGGCGCAAGTTTAAAAAGTTCTTTAATTTGTAGTTTTAGTATTGCGGTACAAAAGGATGAAGGAACTGACATTGTGGTAAAAAAATAGAGAAATAAATTAATTTTTAACTCGACACTTTAGAACAGAGATCGGCTCCATAACTAGTAATGTCCATTGAGGCCGCCATCCACACACTTCATTGGCACGACAACAACCTGCCGATCTACTCACTGGATATCCAGCGAACGAGTAACCCCGTCAAGGGTACCCGTAGCGCACGCGTGGCTACTGGGGGAGGAGACAACAACGTGCGAATCTGGCGTGTAAACTATACGGAGACCAAAGTAGAGTCTGTGGAATATCTGAGCTCGCTTACCAAGCACACCCAAGCAGTCAATTGTGTCCGATTCAATTCCTCTGGCGATATGCTGGCGAGTGCTTCCGATGACGGAACAATAATGATATGGTGTCTGTCGGATAAAATTATCAAGGAGTTCGGCAATGAAGACGACGATGTGAAAGAGAGCTGGTATTTGGAGTCATCGTGTAGATCCTCGACGCTTTCGGAGATCTACGACATCTCGTGGTCGCCGGACTCCAAATACATCTGTTGCGGATCAATGGATAATATCACGCGTATATTCAGCGTGGCCACGGGTGCTATGATCAAGCAAATTGCTGAGCATAACCACTATGTGCAGGGTGTCACGTGGGATCCCCGGAACGAGTACATTTGTTCTCAATCGGCAGACAGGTCTGTGCATATCTACAAGATTGTGTCAGAAAAAGGAGCGGACTTGGTTCTCTCTCCTACCACCTTCTACAAAATCATACGCGCAGAGCTGCCAAGCAAGAGTCTCACCACGGAAAACCTCAAAGAGAACACCGAGAGCTCCAACATGGACCCTCCTTTACAAACACCCCGCCACAAACGGACGCATTCAAATTCATCCACGTCTTCCTCGCATTCCATCGCCGTTTCGGCAACGCGCTCGTCGTCTCCGCTTCCAGCGGTGATGCCGGCTTCGCCGAATCCTGTCTACAAAAGCTTGCAACTCTACCACAACGAAACGCTCCAATCATTTTTCCGGCGACTCACTTTTTCCCCAGATGGCATGCTATTGTTCAGTTCCAGTGGAGTATTCAGGACAGATGCGCTTGACGAAAACATCAATACTGTTTATATACACACGCGATTTGGCCTCAACAGGCCTCCGGTTGCACATCTTCCTGGGTTCAAAAAACCAGCCATAGCCATCAAATTTAGTCCGGTGCTATACAAGCTTCTGGAAAACGAAAAAAGTGTTTTCAAACTGGACTACCGCATGGTTTTTGCCGTGGCGACCCAGGATTCGGTCGTGATATACGACACACAAAGACTCAAGGCGCTGGCCATAGTCACAAACATTCACTACTCAGTGATCACAGACCTCAGCTGGTCATCGGACGGGCAGATCCTTATGGTTTCGAGCGCCGACGGATTTGTTTCCAGCGTCAACATAACGCGCTCGCTGGTGGGCGAGGTGGAAACTTACAGCGTGAGCGACTATCTGAGTAAGCACAAACTCACAAATTCTGCGGCGAACACCAGTCAACAGAGCTCCATTATAGAGCTGCTGAACACAGACGCCACGCCGGCACCGGAGTCGATCGGGAAACCAGGAGACTCTGTGCAGGTGATTGACATCACGACTTCGCGGCCGGAGCATGATACAACGCCGGAACCCGCACCCAAGAGGGCCAAAATATAGGTAGAGATAGACGTATCACGTGGGTACGGCACGTGATACAAAAAAAAATTAATACAGAGTCATTTTGTGGACGGTTTTCGGTGTAGTTATTTAATCTCCAGAATTTACTATGAACAGCACAATCACACTGGTGGTGACACTGGTCGTTGCGTCTGTGTTCATAGCGTACTTTCTGGGCGACGACGCAGGCGTGACGGACGAAATGGTGGCGCGTGTGGCCCAGATCGCTCCAAATCTTCCGCCGTCGGTGATCCGCCGTGATCTGGAACGCACCCGCAGTGTTCAGGTCACGATCGATAATTACTTGAACGGACTGCTCGCAGCGCACGAAACAGGCGAATCGCAATATAGCGGAAGCCAGCAAATAAAGAAGCAGGATTGCAAGCCAGCCCAGTTCGAGGGCCTGGACTTTGAGCAGAAAAAACGGGAAATGGTGCTCAGAGCTCGTCGAAGACTAAATCTCGACTAATGTTTAGTTTCGTCTGTCGAAATACATCTTGAACTTCTTGTCCTCATTCTTGACTCTGTAGATGAAACCCATTATCACGTCACTCTCCTTCACGGTCAGTTGGTTGTTGAAATGGTCTTCGACAGCGTGTCTGAGATCGTCTCTGTTGCGGTATTCGTACATGTTAGTGCCACTGCTGAGCTCGTTTTTTGCGTAGGACTCTGACGACTCTCCAAGCTCTGAGCCTTCCAGCATGTAGCCCTGGAGCGTCTTCACATCGGGGGTGATGATCTGCGAAGGGTTCAAATATAGCTCTCTGTACTTGCGTAGCTGTTCCTCTGTCCAGCTGGAGAAATCCAGCGGGTCCTTGACTGGAAAGTCCTGTGGCCCATTTGAGTGAATGTACTTGGCCAAAAACTCCTTTTGCTGTTGAGCAAGCACCTGGTTCCGGTGTTTTGTGGACGACCGCGACGACGAAACCTGCTCCGGCTCGGAGGTGTCTCTTCTAGCCATAATTAATTAATTTATTTTTTTTCACCCTCATGTCCAACGTATACATTTTGGGAGCAGGAGGAATAGGCACGTTGGTGGCCTCTGTGCTGACAAAACGGTATCCGGTGAATTTTTTGGTGAGGAGAAAAGAGAAGCTGGATTTGCTGAAGAAAACCAACAACACGTTCACAATCACCCAGCTTTTCAACCAGGGCCGTCGGATAGACTGCAAGATTGCGCGAGCTTGTCAGGCGGACGATATTCCGGACCAGCACATTGACTTTTTGATTGTCAGCGTCAAGACGTTTGACACTGTGAAGTCGCTGATGCCCTTGCTGCCAAGGATCTCGCCGTCGACCAATATTATGCTTATTCAGAACGGTATGGGTGTTTTGGAGGAACTGTACGCCAGTTTATGGCCACAAGCATCGGAGCGGCCTGTTATCTACCAAGGAGTGATTACGCATGGTGTTTTCCAAGACAGAGACCAGGAAGGCACGTTTGACTACAACCATGCCGGAAACGGAGATTTCAAGATCGCAAGGGTCGACGGCAAGAATGCAGACCATCCGGTGCTAAAAACGCTTGTGGAGAGCGATCTGTGCACCACTGTGTACTCGTACGAGGACCTTCTTGTGCATCAGGTCGCGAAACTGATGGTTAACTGCTGTATGAACCCGACCACTGCGGTTCTGGACTGCGTGAACTACGAGATCGACGGACTCGAGTCGATTAGAGAGTACTTCAGCAGGCTGGTTCACGAGGCGATGGAAATTCTGCGTGTCCGCTATCCGTCTCTGGCAGGCCGCGCGGAATTGGACGAGTCGCGTCTGGTGGAATTTATTCTTGAAAAAGGTTGCAAATTGAACGGAAAAAATAGCACAAGCATGAGACAGGATACCTTGTTTCTGAGAGACACGGAAATCGACTACATCAACGGGTATATTGTGAATCTGGCAGAACAGCAAGGGACAGACGCTCCATACAACAGGACGATCCAGCTGCTGACAAAAAGCAGACTGAGAATAAACCGATCTAGAGCATTATAGAGGAAATAATTATTCACGCTTTTTCTCCGTAGTATCTTGCGTCCTGGCCCTTCGTGGTGACCGCCTCGATGACGTTGTCCTCGTCGTCCGTGACCAGCTGGTCCTTGTCGAGGTTGCTCTTTGGTCCCTTGTAGACCTTGTGAGCGTACACGACGTACCACACCATACACAAGAACATCGATCCCCAGTACACCAGCACCGTCCAGTTCATCATGTCTGGGGTGTTATCAGCTCCTTTGTACTGCGGGAAGTTCAGAATCGGGATCATGAGCGTCACAAAACACACGGCCACCACACCGGAAGGAATGGAAAATGCGCCCAGGTGCCACGGGCCCTTCTGGAACGTATTTCTGGCATAGGTGATTCGAAGCAGAGTTGGCACTGTAAAGGAGATGAACGAGCCAATTGCGCCGACGGAGAAAATGGCGTCGATCGGAGTTTCGCCGCCAAACATGAGCAGTAGCAGCAGCTCTCCCAGGAACCAGTTGGCCCACACAGCGTTGACAGGAGTTTTTGTAGTGGCATTGACGTGCGACCAAGCTTTAGACAGCGGGAAACAGCCGTCTCTTGAGTATGAGAAGAGCACTCTGGACGCGGCAATCATACAGGAGAAGGCCATGGAGAAGGAGAGAACAATAGCGAACGCGGTCAGCGTGATCACTCTTTCTTTAGTCAGGATCTGCGCCAAAAACGAAACGTACGGCTGGCCCAGCTCGTCGTTGACGGCATCATCAACATCAACGATCGTGTAGGCCATGGCAAGCTGGAAAACAAAGCCAAGAACGCCTCCCACGGAGGCAGTCAGCACGATGGCCCGCGGAGTGGCCAACTGGGCGTTGCTACACTCTTCAGCCAGGTGGAACGGCGAGTCAAAACCAGACATCGTCCAGATGACGGCCATGAAACTCATCAGAATACAGATTCCGTTCGGCCACTCAGTGAAGTTGGTGATTCCCCACGCCATGTCGTTGTTGTTGAACTTGGGAAGGCCTTGGTCGCTTCTGGTGTTGCCGCCAAGGATAATGACAAAAGAGATGAACAAGAAGAGCAGGTTGAGCGCAGTGGAGCCGGAATTGATCCAGGCAATCCATTTGGTAGGGAGCGAGGCTATGATGGAGCAGACAAACGTCAGACACGAGGTCAGCAGATACGTTTGCCAGTTGGTGGCCGAATAGTCTGGGTCATTGAGCGACTTGAGCGCCAGAATCATGCTGGCACAGCCGTATGCCACCGATGGAGCGCCCGTCACTTGCACAAAGTAATTGGACCAGCCGACAAACCACGAAAGCACAGCTTTGTAGCCCGGCGGAGCAAGCATAGCCGTGGCGTAGTAGAGTCCACCAGAAGTCGGAAACGCGCTTGAGATCTCGGCCATGGAGCAGGCAACGGCCATGACGCCGATCATGCCGACCAGATACGCCCAGGTGAGGCCTGCATTGCCGGAGTAGGCAAGCGAGTACCACAAGGTGGACGCGATCGAGGGAAGCAGACCGAGCACGGAAAACGAGACTCCGAACGTGGTGATGAGCGAGAACTCTCTTTTGAACTCCTGCTTGTAACCGAGGGCCAGAATTACCGCCTCGTCCTTGTCGACGGGGTGATCCACGAGGATTTTCTGCGACCTGTTGGACAGAACAGAGGTGACGTGCATTTGGTCCACCGAGAGGATCGTGGCGGTGGACCGGACAGGGTCAACGTTCGGGGCCATGATGCAAAATGCTGGACAAGACTGAACGGTGTCTATATATAGAGACCTTATCAAAAAACTTAAAAAAGTGCATATCGTCAAAGGGCTGTGCTTAGACTTCTTATCGGTGGACAAGCTTTGGCGGCAACGAAGCTGACGTTGCAGAAGCGATATGTGGAGATTGAGCTGCAGTTGATGAACAAAGCCCGAAAACGCTTTTTATTGGCTCCATAGCCGCGGTCTGTGTGCAGTAACCTTGTTCAGAGAATTTATAGTGGTGGACCTTCCCTTTTTAGACCTGATTGCAAAAAACTTTGCATGTTATCAGAGTGGCATTTTATGCACCTATGGCCGTCGATCGGCGGGTCGACTGCATTTTAGCATCTTTGGAAAAACTTGATTTTAATAGGCCGATGAGAAACGCAAGAACACTACTCCGTTCCGGGAGATTTCTGACTAGGGCTGTTGTCCTGACTGCTCGGCCAGCTGTACGTGGACACAATGTGCAAATGGCGCTGCCAACATGCCAAAGTGCTCGCTGCAACTCCATCTCGGCCAGGACCGATGGCGCAGACATCCCGGAGAGCGTGCGGAGCCTCACAATGGAGCAGTATGACACAAGTGCAAGCGAGACCCTGGAAACAATCTACTGCGATCTGGACGGGTTCTTCGACGAGCACAACATCTCCGACGCCGACGTCGAGGAAAGCGTAAGTATGAGTGGCTACATACAACTAACTTCAGGCTGGCATATTGACCCTCAATACCCCCCAAGGCTCGTACGTGCTCAACAAGCAGCCGCCTAATAAACAACTATGGCTGAGCTCTCCGATCTCTGGCCCAAAGAGGTTCGACCTGTTGGACGGCGAATGGATCAGTATTCGGGACGGGGTTAAACTCCATGACATGCTGGAAGAGGAGATGACCCAGATTTTCGGCGACTTCAGCTTCAGCGGGCAGTTCTAGCTGTCAAATGGAGCACCCGATTGTACATATCACATGGGTCGCCATCACGTGCATAGAACGAAATCGACTTTTTACGACTTTTTACAGACCTCCACGACCGTAAAAATTTTTAAAAAATAATTTGGTACCTTTGACCATGTCGACTGTTTCTGCTTCGAAAGCAAAGAGAGAGGCCAAGAAGGCTGCCAAGGCTGCCGAGGGAAAGCTCAAGACCAAGAAGCTGACCAAGAAGGAAAAGGAAAAGCTCGAGTCCGGCGGAGATGTCTCTTCAGCAGCAGATGAGATCGAAAAGCTCAAGTTGCAACAGGACAAGGATGGATTGAGTGACAGAGTTACCACAGGTGTGTTAGACTCTTTGGAGACCTCCAGAGATATCAAGATGTCGTCTGTGTCGCTTCTTTTCCACGGTAAAGTTCTTTTGCAAGACTCCTCTTTGGAATTGAACTATGGTAGACGTTACGGATTGCTTGGAGAGAACGGTTGCGGTAAGTCCACTTTCCTGAGGGCTCTTGCCGCCAGAGAGTACCCAATTCCAGAACACATCGATGTTTATCTATTGAACGAGCCAGCCAATGCCTCTGAATACTCTGCCCTGGACTGGGTTGTGAGAGAGGCCGAATCTGAGCTTGCTCGTTTGGAAAAAGAAGTTGAAGATATTATTGTCAACGACGGACCAGAATCACCATTGTTGGAGCCTCTGTACGAAAAGATTGATGAGATGGACCCATCCACTTTCGAAGCCAGAGCGGCTGTCATCCTTACTGGTCTCGGCTTCAACGCTCAGACCATCAAGAAGAAGACCAAGGACATGTCTGGTGGATGGAGAATGAGAGTTGCTCTTGCCAAGGCCCTGTTTGTTAAGCCTACGTTGTTGCTGCTGGACGACCCTACTGCCCACTTGGACTTGGAGGCCTGTGTGTGGTTGGAGGAGTACTTGAAGCTTTTCGACAAAACTTTGATTCTTGTTTCGCACTCTGAGGACTTTTTGAATGGAGTCTGCACCAACATGATCGACATGAGAATGAAGAAGATTACCCAGTACGGTGGTAACTACGACGCCTACGTTAAGACAAGAACCGAGTTGGAGACCAACCAAATGAAACAATACTACAAACAGCAAGAAGAAATCCAACACATCAAGAAATTCATCGCTTCTGCTGGTACGTATGCCAACCTGGTGAGACAGGCCAAGTCCAGACAGAAAATCCTTGATAAGATGGAAGCCGATGGTCTGATCCAGCCAGTGGTCCCGGACAAGGTTTTCACGTTCAAGTTCCCAGAAGTGGAAAGACTTCCTCCACCGGTGCTTTCGTTCGACGACATTTCATTCGCTTACGACGGAAACCCAGAACACTACCTGTACAAGGACCTTTCGTTTGGAGTCGATATGGACTCGAGAATCGCATTGGTTGGACCGAACGGTGTGGGTAAGTCCACGCTGTTGAAGCTTATGACGGGTGAGCTTCAGCCCCAAAAGGGAAGAGTGTCCAAGCACACCCACTTGAAGATTGGTGTGTATTCGCAGCACTCTGCTGACCAGCTTGACCTCACGAAAACGCCTTTGGAGTTCGTCAGGGACAAGTTTTCGCACATTTCCCAGGACTTCCAGTACTGGAGAGGCCAACTGGGAAGATTTGGTCTGACTGGTGAAGGTCAAACCTCGCAAATGGCCACATTGTCAGAGGGACAGAGATCCAGAGTGGTTTTCGCTCTGTTGGCCCTTGAACATCCTAATGTTTTGTTGCTGGACGAGCCTACTAACGGTTTGGACATCCCAACAATCGATTCCCTGGCCGAGGCCATCAACAGCTTCAACGGAGGAGTTTGTGTCGTGTCCCACGATTTCAGATTGCTGGACAAGATTGCAAAGGATATTTACGTTGTTGAAAACCAAACGGCAACCAGATGGGATGGTACTATCGGGCAGTATAAGGCCAAACTGGCCAAGAATATTGTGCTCTAAGTACAAAATTAATAAACTCCATTCTATTTTTCCGTTTTTATATTGATTCCGTTGTTCAGATCCCGCAGATCAGCAGCAAAAAGCACCGAGTGAGCCCAGCCAGCGTACTCACCCCATAACTGCTTGAATTTGTCTTGGATTTGCGCGTAAAGGTCTTTATTTAATAGTTTTCCTGGCATGCGGTAGGTTTTGGTAGCAATCTTGAAAACATGAGTGTCCACAGGAACGACATCGTGTTTATCCAGGGACATCAAACACACGCAATCGGCAACTTTAGGGCCGACGCCCATGAACGTCTGGAGATACTCATGGCACGTTTTATGGGGTTCCGTTCTCATCGAGTACAGTTTCGCAAACTCGTCTTTCTTGGTAAGCATTTGGGCTGTTTGCTGGATAAACTTTGCTCGGTAGCCAAATCCAAGCGTACGCAGTTCAGCCTCGACATTTGGCTGGGCTAAACGCTCAGGTTCAGGGAATTTGTAGTGTTTGATCCCCTGGTACTCGACCAAAAAATCGCCATAGTGAATACACAAATTTTCGCACATTTTCGAGATCCGTTTCACGTTGTTGTTGGTTGAGCAGATAAACGACACAAGGTTTTCCCACGGATCTTGTCTGAGCATACGTATCCCGCCGAAATTTTCAGAGTTCTTCGTAAAATGCTTATCTCTGGAAGCCCAGTCAAGGTACAGCTCCTCGAGCCTGATAGACAGGTTGAAGTAGTCCATGACCACCTCCTCCGTGTCCTTCAGGTGCGGGATAGATGCGTAGTGGAGAAACGTGTCGTCCTGTTTCAGAAGCAGCACTCTGTTCTGGATCGTACAGGACCAGATGTCGTCCACGTATTTCCAGCGGAAGGCTTGTCCGCAGCGCAAAACTCTGGCAACCGAAAGTTCCTGAGGTTAGAGCGTTTCAAGTGCCGTCTACATACCTTTGGAGAGAGCCGTATGGCTTTCCAGACGATGTCTTTAGTCATGATTTAAGGACGCGTCGGCTGAAAATTTTCGTCGCGTCGAAAAATAAGTATGGTTTTGCATAACGATAAGTGGAAGTGGAAGAATAAACGCAAACATTTGAAAAAGGTGGGTGAGGCGCAACAGGATGGTAGCTCAAGTGAAGATACAAGCGGTGACGAGCTGATCACTAACGAATGGCGGTTTGAGGAGCTGAGGCCTATTCAACATCCTAAAGATGAGGAACAGATAGCATTAGAGCGAGAGCAGAGACAGATCGAGTTGGAGCAGGACGAGGCCAACACGCGACTTGTTTTGAGTAAACTCAAGCTATCAGCGCCTGAAATCAGCAAATCAAGCCAACACAAGGACGCCAAGAAGATGTCCAAGCAGGAGCTGCTAGACTGGAGTGTGGGGCAACAGAGCGAACCTGAACCTGATCTAGCAGCTCAAAGCATTCGCACACTTAGCGAAGACGAAAAAGCTCGGTTCTACGAGCTGCAGAAGCGCATCGAGCGGCAGAAATTGGTGACGTCGATGAAAAAGAAGTTTGCCACCACAGGAGGAAGAAAGGTGCTGGAGGTCGCGAAAGTAGACGACGACAACTACAAGGCTGTGAATGCGCAAAAGCTCGAAGAGTCGGCGAAGAAGCCCAAGGAGGGCGAGTTCGAAGAGAGTTTGGCCGACCTGTTGGGTGATAAAACAATTTTGACCCAAGAGTCTGCTGCGAATCCAGATACCAGGGCACACAAAATTACGCGTAAGCCAGGCCCGTCGCTCAAGCTCAACTCCTCACAAACCGATGACGAGTTTTTGGACCATCTGCTTGGATGATATTTCATGACGATATTCCATGCGCCGATCGACCTCATCCGACGCGGACGCGAAAAATAGTTACGTTTTTGCCCTACCGTGTCAAAGTCATGGACAAGGCAGGTGCCGGTGAGCTGTTTTCCGACGATCAGGAGATGTTGGAAGCACTGAGAAGCTTTCTGGTCCGGAAAAACGCGCGAATTCGACGACAGACAGGCGAGTTGCGCGGCGACCTGGTCGAGCAGGTGCGCCAGCAACGGCACGAGATCATCCAGTTGCGCAACAAGTGTCGCATGCTGGAAGAGAAACTCAGGGCGTACGATCAGGGCACCCCGAAACATAACATCGTTGTTTCTCCAAAGAAGAACCAACTGTCACCACTAAAAGCACAACAGCACTCGCCAACTTATTCTGCGCTATCTGGTACAGAAACCGAGGACTCGGAGTTCAGCACGCCACGAAAACTGCGATTAGTTAGCACAGCGGCTCTGGTTTCGGTGAATCCCGCAAAAGATGATTCCATTCTTGACGACTGCGACGAAGAATCACTAAAGGTGCTGAAACAGAGCAGCTCTCAGCAGCCGCGCGACAAAATTCGGGAAATGGCCGTGTTGGACCTGACCTGCCATCCGGGCCGCAAAGGGAACTGGTGGCCGGAGGACTTTAAGCCGAACCCGGAAATCAACTTTGGACAGAGAGAAGCGTTCACATTGCGTCGAATCAATCCCAAATACGCGCATCCGGCGTTGCAGACACAGCACAAATACCAACAGCAACATCTAAAACAGGAGGCCATGAAAGAATTCAATCGCCTGGCAGGACAGGTGGAGCCGGTGACGCCCGGGGTGAAGCTGGTGTGGAGCGCTAACGACACCGGGACGCTGCCCACTCCGCTAAAAACCCCCGACCAGGCCCTGAGCAACCCGAAAATCGACCCGGTGTTTAAATTCGAGATCAACAAGTACAACTACAAAAACTTTGACCTCAACCTCAACAGTAACAAAATCAAGCTCTGGCTCGATCTGCAGGACTCGCCGCCGGGCCATGAGCGGTCGGAATTCCCGACGCCGTCGCAATCGGAGGCAGACCGGCAGAAAAGCATCAAACGGGCGAAACTGGTTGCCCTGCAAAGACTGTTCCAGACGGTTTTCATGGTGCAACCAACAGACAAATCGGGAACGTCGTACCAGCAGGTTGGCAAGTTTATATTCCGCAACGACGAATGGAACCAGCTCGTGCGACGCAACGAGTTTCAGATCGACGAGTCCATATTCTACAACGCCGAATAGCTTAGCTACCAGTTAGTTATATACGAATTGAATACAGTATATTTCTATATCTATTTCTTGTTGCCCCTGTAATCAAGGTAGTTGTAGTAGTTGAAGCTGTTGAGAGCCGGGTTCAGCTCCAGGGACGTGCTCACAAACTGCTTCGCGCCCTCGGAAAGCTCGTGGTGCACTGTTTCTTGCGACGAGGTTGGCGTCAGCGATTTAAGAGCGTTGCCGTGGCCGTCAGTCAGGGCTCTGGATGTCTGGTCAGGATAGAACCGTTTGAGAGGAATCCAGCTCTGGAACAGCTCGTACGATGCAAGCGTGAATCCGAATTGCGGCGATGACCGACAGATTCTGGCGATGCCACCCTTAAACAGGGCAGAGAAACCTTCTTCTTTCAATATCCGGGAAAATGCGTCCGCAATGTTCTTGTACGCCTTCTCGCCCGGACGACTCTCCACCTGGAGTCTGGTTTTGATCACGTCGCACGGAGTCGTGAAGTATGCGGCAGGCATTCCGGAAAGCGCTCCACTAAGAAGCAGCTCCCATGACTCGAGCTTGTTCTTCTTGGCTGGGTTGTTTGGATCGAAGCCAAACATAAACTTCTTGATATTTGCGTATGCTGGGAAGTAGATGGCACTGAAGGGAACGTCTCTGAGCAGACAGGCAGATGCTCCTTTATAAAGGCCCCGGAGCCCCAGCTCTCTCACAATATCGACTGCAGACTTCTCAACATAAGGAAGACCCTCCTTGGCCATTTGTCTTACAGTTTCTCCTTGCACTTGCAGTCTGATTTTCGTGATCTCGAGAGGGTTGGTGAATATGACTTGGCACGCACCAGCAGAAGATCCTGCCAGGATCTCCCAGCCCATAGTCAGCTCACCATTCTTGCAGTAGCCCGCTCCAATTCCTCTCACTATGTCATTAACAGTGAGTTTGATGGCCTTCTCCGGAGCAACACCAACCAGCTGAGGAAGAAGACCAGAGTAAAGCCCAATAAAACCTTCGTGTTTGAACACTTTACGGAAACAATCACCGTACGAAGAGTACAGAGAGTTGCCTTTCTGATTTTGCATTCTGGTCTTCACTAAGTCAATTGGGTAAACAACAGTAGCACCAATGGCACCAGCCACGGATCCAAGAAGGAAAGAGTAAGCCGAATTCAAAATCGGATAGAAGCTGAACGGAACAACGTCCGAAGACTCGCGGCTTTTGATCAAGTCGTCCGTGAGAATAGCCAACATGTCGCCAGATTTAATGGCAGAGGTGCGATCTTGCTGCTGTAGAAGCTGCAGGTTCCATTTGAAAAATAGCGACGCTTCCTCCTCAGTGAGGGAGCCAGCAACGCGAGATTTGGCAAACTTGTAGAACTCATCCTTGGAAATCAGTTTATCTGTGTTATTGTACTGTCCAGTGGAAATCTGCTCATATATGGCGTAGTTCAGCGAGGGAAGATCTTTGAGAAGCTTGATCACAGTTTCTGAGTCGCTCAGTGACAGGCTTGGACCAAAGTTGGCTTTTGAAAACGATTCAATCCGTGAAAGAATATTGTCTGGAAGTCTAGAGTGGAATATTTCGTTGACTATGTCTCTGAAGCTAGCGATGTCGATCTTGTCATTCTGGGCCAGCTGCTTGAACTTTTCATCAAGCTTGATCAATGGCAGCTTTTCGATAAGCGCGGAGAAGTCTGCCGGGGTCAATTTCTCGAGTTTATTCTCTGCAAGATATTTTTTCACAGGCTCGATATCAGAACTTGTTTTTATTGTCTGGTTAAGGTTCGATAGAATATCCAAGAACCTGTCTGTCTTGATCTCCTGAGGGGTTTCGCGCTCATTGTAAAAATCTTTCTCAAACAGCTTGAACAGCTTGAAAAGTAACTTGGGCGACTCTTCAGTGTTAGTCTGCACATTGAGGAGTTCCTTGGAAAACTTCTGGAAATCGCTCTCTGTCAAGTATCCTTTCTTCTCGTGATCAGCAATTAGATAAAGTAACCCAAAGGAGTCGATTGGCAGGAACGAAGTCACTCTTGAGAGATTTGGCTTTTCTTGATTTCTGAGCACACTCACAAAATCTTCAAACTTCAACACTTTCTCCTGCGTGTCCAGATCCGAGTACTGTTTGGAAAACTGCTCGAAAATGGTAGACAGAGATGCATCTACATTGGGTGACATGGTGGGGGAAACGGTCTTGTGAGCGGAGGTTAAAGAAAGTAAGGGAGAGTCACTTTTATTTGTAGTGGTAATCATGACTCAGTTTCCAATTTTATATTGTTCAGACTATTGTTAAAGCCGGAACTACCTATGGAGAAAAGGAATACAAAGCAAAAAAACTTTCTCTGATGATTCCAGCGATTATCGATATATATACGATTTGAATGGGTTTTCCTTATCGCAGGAGCGGGGACGCCAGTTTTCGCCTGGTTGGCTGGTGTGGTAAAAATAGTCTATCTTGCCTTGACTGGGAGCACGCGTTTTACGTGTACCCCGGGAGTTTGCCACATCGGTTATTTTCCGTGGTCCACTTCGCCGTTTACACACGTAAGAAGCCGGTCCGAAAATTGATGCACAAACATGTGTTACCCGGCCTACCTCGGAATCACCCCCACATTTAAGCAAAGGTTCGCTGCAGTAGTTATCGATGGGATGCTCTAAACAACTAAATCTCTTATTTATTTAATAGCAGTACAAATTTTCCCAAAGAGCTTATTTCTTGGTGGAGTCAGCACCCTCCTTGGCACCAGAAAGAGCACCGGAGACGTACTCGACGGCCTCGTTCAGCTTCTCCTTACCGGCATCCAAATATTGGTTGGCAGTGTCGGCCAGGCTGCTTTGGTTCTGGTTGGCTTCGGACTTGGCTTTGTCAGAGCCCGACTGAGCCTTGTCGCCCAATGTCTGTGTGAAAGACTTTTGGTTGTCTGGCGTCACCTTCGAGGCAAGTTTGTCTGCCTGATCTGTGACTTGCTCCTTGGTTTTCTCGTAAGCACTCTTCTCAGAGTCTGGCTTCACGCTCTCGGTGATCTTGTCGCTAAGGTTCTTTCTTCCAATGTCACTCATGTTTGATTCTGTGGTAAAAGAAAGGAGGCGAGCATGCTAATTTTATAGCTCACAAATAGCAATCATATGTAATAGCAAGTATTGCTAAATAATACGTAATATATAGGAGCAATTACGTAATAGGTGGCTGTTCGGTCTCGTCGTCGAGCCAGTCTTTGGCCCTCGAAATGGCCTTTTCCCAACGTTTCCACATGTGATGTCTTTTCTCGTCGTCCAGCTGGGCCACGAACATGTTGCTTTCGTCTGACCCGCCGTTCAGCTTCTCCGTCACGTCTTTGAGCGACTTCCAAACCCGGACTTTTTTGTGAAGTCCTGCAGCTATGGCAGAGCCCAAAGCAGTACATTCTGCATTGTCAGATCTCACAACTGAAACGCACGGCCCCAGCAAATCAGCTTGAATCTGCATCACCACGTCAGACTGAGACATGCCCCCGTCCACGTGAAGCGTGTTCAATGGGTTATTTTTGTCTTGAAGCTCGGCATGGTCCAGAAACTCAGATGATCTGCCAGCGTCCGAGACCATGGCGCGCAAAATAGCACGGACCTGGAAACAAACTCCCTCGATGGCTGCTCTGGCAATGTGGGAGGCCTTGGAGTACTGTGTCAGCCCAAATATCGTACCTGTAGTTCTTGGGTTCCAGTATGGAGCAAAAAGACCGGAGAACGCAGGAACAAACACCACGCCTGCGCTTGTAGGAGCCTGAGCAGCAAGAGGACCAATGTGCGAGGAGCTGTAAATGAGTTTCAGGTTATCTCTCAGCCATTGGACACACGCGCCGGCAACAGCGATCGAACCTTCCAGACAGTAGTGAGGGTTGACCGAGTCCTTGCCGTCGACAGAAGGGTCCAAGTCAGGGAACCAGTATCCGACAGTCGTGACTGCGCCGTGCTTGGAAACCAGTTTCTTGTCGCCTGTGTTGTACAGCAAGAAGGCACCGGTACCGTAGGTACATTTGGCGTCTCCTTTTTGGAAGGCCAGCTGGCCAACGAGAGAGGCAGATTGGTCACCCAAGCAACCTGTGATCGGGACGTCCGCAAGCAGTCTCATGATAATCTCCTCCGCGTCCTGGGACAGCACCTTCCGCTGATACCCAATGTGTTTCAGGTCTGGCAACTGAAAAGTTCCGAAATCGTAACAGCTGGGAACGATTTTTGGAAGATTGATTTTGGTGGTGTCGACTCTCCAAAATTCAAGCAACGCCTCGTCGTAGTCTTTTGTCTCTAGGTTCATGAAACTGGTTCTAGACGCGTTCGTGATGTCTGTGAGGAATGATTTTTCTTTGGTGATATTGTAGATCAGCCAAGTGTCAATAGTACCAAACATCAAGTCGCATTCTCCACTATCGTAACTTTCCTGTATTTCTGGGACATTGTCGTACAGCCAGGTCCATTTTAGAGACGAAAAATAGGTAGAGATCGGACAGCCAGACCGTTCTTGGAGCATGGTGCGAATATCCTCGGGAACGACGCTGTTCAGCTGGTTCATCAGGTTTAGGGTCCGGGTGTCGTTCCAAACAATACCGTTGTGCAGCGGCTTTCCGGTACGCTTGGACCATATAATGGTGGTCTCACGCATGTTGGCGATCCCGATAGCCGCCACGTGGTAAACTGTAGGCAAAGAGCCGTCGAGCGGTTCCTCAGAGTTCGAAATTTCGAGTCTCATCAAACAGGCGGCAAGACACTCTAGAACGTTGGCCAGAATGTGACAAGGATCACATTCAACCCATCCTGGCTGAGGGAAAGACAAAGTAGGGCCCATGTGGTCTTCTTCGACCTGGACATGGCCGTCTTTGCCAATTTCCAAAGCTATACCTTCATTGGAAAAAATAGTGGGGGAATTCCGTTTCGAACCTTCCTTTGCAGAGGTGGAGTACTCGATCTGGTGTTTGGTGATCTCCTCCCCATTCTCAGTGAACAAAATCACTCTGGTGGAGGTGGTTCCAATATCTATAGAACAGATAAGTGGAATACTGGACATAAGTGCAAGTTGGGATAAAAAAAAACAGGAAACCTAAACTACCCCAGATTAGCGAGAGAAAAATTATTTATAAAATGCCTATCCCCATGGAAAATAATTGTACTATTTTATTGTATCAGCAGCCTTGCAGCCTCTTTGAAATTCGGATTGTTCTTTTCCAAGTCAAACTCCGGGTTTTCCTGCCAGATTAATCGCCGAAAAATCTCGTCCATAACAAGCTGCTGTATGTTATTGGTGAACGGCTCGCGAATGTCGAATTGAGGGTTGGCGGACGCGGCATTAATTTTGGCAATTTCCTCGGCATCAAAATATATGCTACGCTTGCTGAGCTTGACTGCCTTGTAGTTCAACTGGTAGAGTTTTTTCGCAAGCAGGTCCCAATGCTCGGACTGGTTCACATAAACCATGCCCTGGACCAATATCTTCCAGTTTTCGAGGTCCTCGTAATGGGGAAACTTTTCCTTGAGAAAATTTGTCAGAGCAATCGCAAAGTAGATCTCACCCGTTAAAATAAAATGCCAGAGAAAGTTGCGCACAACTCGAAAACTAGGACTCGATTTTTCGTTTGCTTGCGCACTATCTAGCGCCAACCGCCAAGCCTCGTTGACTTCGCCCCTGGCCAACAACTCCTTGACCGCCTTGGTGGTCATCGCAACGCTTGTTGTCCGAACTCCGTGATCCTGCATCGACGTCCGGATTTCACTCAAATCTCTATTGTCCAGCGACAGATACTCAAAAAGCTCATCTTGTACAGGACGCATATCTATCTTTAGCGTCTCCATTTTTCTGCATATCGCTCTTTTCAGATCTCGGTCCCTGAGCCCCCGAAACATGATATGAAACGTTGTTGCGTTAGGCAAAAGATGGTATTTGTCCATAATTTGCAAGTTCTCCAGCACATTTGCGATTCTGTTGGGATGGTGTTTTTGTAGCGTTGTCTCCAGAAGCAAATTCATCACCTCTGTGTCGGGCTTATGGCCCATTTTGATCATTTTGTCTCTGACCTCAAAGCACTCGAGTGTTTTGTATGTTTTGGCAAAAAAACGGATAATTCGCTTGAAAGAAAGCCGTTTGAGATCCGGTGAGTTGGTCACTGTGTTATAGATTTTACAAATATGGGGCATTAGGCTGGGATATCGCCGGAAGTCTAGTTCTGACACTGATGTCACATACTTGTTTATTGATGCCTTTGTGTATTTCGCTGGTGGCTCCGGGAGCAATTCTCCCAATCTGAGCTTGTCTGTCCGCCTCACTCTGTCTGTCTCGCGACGGAACCCTCGCCGGCTCAATATATCCAGAAAATATATCGCTATGACACTCTCGTGGCTGCCCTGTTGCACCTGCAAACCGACTTTATCGCCCGTAAGTTTCAGAAACTGGTCGTAGCGATTGTGGATTCTTTGCTCGGCGGCTGCAAACGCGGATGCGTTTCTTGCCGCTGTCGAAACACTAAACTTGCGAATGATATTCATCAGCCAAATCTAAAAATTTATTCGTATTTTTTATCATGATCCACATTACAACTCCTATTTCCTGCGGCAAAGTCACTCCCCGTGAATTTGATTTGACACAGACATCCAGTCTACCAGCTTCTCGACCGGGTCATTCTCATCTGGCAGTCTCTCGTGTCCGTAGTTCACGATGTTAACACTTTCCCCGACCTCCCTGTACGTGTTTTGTACTCCGTCGACAGTCTCGCGTCGGAAAACACCCACTTTGTAGTCTCCTCCAAAGTGGTGCTCCTTTCCAACTAGTCGTCTGCCCCTCATATAATTTATAATTTGATCCTGTCCGTCCACGGAGCACCTAGTCTTCTGAGCATTCCAAAACTGTGATCCCTCCGAAACAGGCCCGGTATACTCTGAATACACTGGCAGAACGTTGCACTCGTATTTGGTCGTTTCGGCTTCTGCAAAAGTAATATTTGACGGATGCAATGATCTGCTCATTACGCGTATTAAATACTCTATTTCCACAAATTTATTTTTTTAATTCAATGAGTGCCATACAGTCCTTCAAACACTACCCTTATTTAATCTCCAAGTAAGTATACGAAGCAAAATGCAACTAACAGCAGGTACTGGGACCCGGTGTTTGCAATTGCCGTGGGAGTCGTGTCGTATTACGCCTACGAAAAGAGAGCAGGCAGACCCGAAGGTCACACTCTAAACGAGCTCATAAGACGCAAGTACGAACGGATGACAAAGTAATGAACCGCTTTTAATACTCAATAAGCTTTATTTTATCATTTATCGTATGCAGAACTTGGATCAGGAGGTCTAGACTCTCAGCTCCATAGTAGGCTTTTTTCTCGAAAGCATCCGTTTCGTCCTCTTGGACTGCTGTTTTCTGTCTTTCTTGCCAATATCGATCAGATCGCGGCCGAAGTTGTCTCTGTTTTTCAGCTTGTAAATACGGACAATCCAGTTTTCACTGGTGAACGCTTCCTCCATGACGTCCAAAGTGATCGATTTTGCATAGCCAGAGCTCAGTTTCTGCTGTCTCACACGGTCAACTGGATCGAGACCATTGTAGACATCCCCGAATCTGTAGAAAGATAGCTTGTACATCAGCGAGTTCTTCATGGCGTCTGTGGCTAAGTCGTCCACTCTATAAGCGCCTCTGTCTGTGAAATAATTGCGCTCGCTAATTTCTTCAGGCCAGATTCCTTCAGCAATTCTCACCATCCATAAAAACTTGTTGATGTCGTCTCCCGAGTACCCTATCAGTCCACCAAAGATCACGAGAACATAGTCCACGTCGAGCTGTCTCATAATCACCTCTGCCTTGTCCTCCGAGGTGGCCATGGCACGGCCAACGGTGGCGATGTGGGTGTTGTTCCACGTGTTGTTGTCGACAAAAGTGGTTCTGTCAGCCATTCCACCAATCTGGTATCCGTAATCCCACCAGGCCATCACTTTGGCATCCTCTGGAGTGTTCATACGCAACCAGTAGTAAGCCTCCCGATAATCGTCGATAAGTAGCTGAGAGCCATCAGGGTTTCTCGAGGCAAGAACAACCGACGGAGACGAGTATGCATTCGACGTCACCCACGTACAATGTTGGACGTAGAAAACGAGGTAGAAAACGAAAGTGGCGCTGACAACCATTTTGGATAGCAGCGTGAATAGAGAGTCCTGCGACTTTTTGTTGTTCCCCCAACTCGACAGCTCTTCTTTGACATCCAAATAAATGTTGAACAGTCTTCCCAACGTGATACCTGCACAGACACAAACAATTGGAGCGAGGGTCAGCATCAGTCTGACCATGACGCCAGCAAAGTAGGAGCCCAGAACCGAATACACAATGACAAACACAGCAGGGTTGGAGAGCTCCTGGAAGCAGAAATAGACACCGACGGGGAAAAGCCATATCATGAAGTTGAGATCAAAGAAAAATGAGGACCATGGGGTAGGCTGGTGCTCAGAGACAGAGGCAATGATTGGGATGTGCACCTTGGCATAGTTTGTGTCCCAAAGAGAGTAAAATCTCCCGGTCCATGGGGCAATCCATCCCATTTTTGTAGCCAGTACAAGACCAGAGATTCCAACAATGGCCACCACAGCACCCAAAGCAAACATCAATCTGACAAACTTTGTTGGGGACAGAGTGTCTTTCAAGTAGCTAACAAGAAGCACCAATTGCAGCAGCCCAAACACGCCAAAAGCAGCCATGTGGTCGTTGGATCTGATCGGCAAGAAGCCAACAAACGGAATCTGCATCGACATCAGCGTTCCCAGGGCATACCAGGTGCAATACGAGGTGTAGATCTTATAGTCAAAACGGCCCATCAAAAGCAGAATAAACACGTGCAATGGAATGATGTTGGTGATAAACACATAGCCACCCCAAGCACTGACCATGTAGAAGTAGAACATTGCGGTCAAAGCACCGTAGAAAATAGACCCTGTGTTGACAGACTTCACCCACAGGAAAAAGGTCACGAGCAGCAGCGTGATAGCAATGGCCTCGTTATCGTAAGAGCCGGCCACAGATCTGGAAATGTACCCTGGAGTAATCCCCATCAAGAACGCGCTAAACAGTGCGGCAGTCTTCTTGTGCTTGAGAGTTGGTGTTGTTGAGGTGACCTCCAAAGTTAGAAGGTACATTGCCAAGGAGGTGATGGAGCTAAACGCTGGAGCCAGCAAAACACAGATATTTCTAATGTCGACTGGCAAACCCACAAATTTCAGGATATGGTAGATGACGGACGAAGTCACCATCAGACCGGGATAGAGTGTTCCTCCAGTGACTCTTCCTAGCGGGTACCATGTCTTATCGTCGAACCAGTTCAAGAACTCATAAAAGGACGTGTTGACAAGATGTTTAGTGGCACGGAAATTGAACCATGGATCGAATTCGTGGATAATCGATTCGAAGCGGATCACCGAAAAAAGCCGCGAGGACACGGCTGCAAACGACACAGACACGAAAATCAGTGTCAGCAGAAGCATTTTCACGAGCTTGAGCAGTGTAGGGTCAACCCGAAGGTAACCCTCATTATCTATAAGTGAGACCATTTCAGGTACAATTGTGATGTGGGCCAAAGGACGATTTCCGTTAGGCGCAAATATCTGGCTTGTTTCTAGATATTTCAGCAATCCACTTCAATTGTCGAATTGTTCAAAGATGCTTTTGTACGTGTTAAAAAAATAAACTCGAAAAAAATCACAAATATTAATACAAAAAGGCAAAATAACAAACCCGCGAGATAATTGTTGATTTATTACTCTTGTCCTTGACAAGCCAGTCGCCTTGAAATTACACCTCTGTTTAACATGGCCTCGCATAGAACAACGGGCAGTCTAAAACTGCAGCCTATGAACAGCGCCAACTACACAGCAGCCCAAGATGGAGTACAAGATTTGCAAAGTCCTACCAATACTGAGAGTGTAGGGGATGAGCCCAGTTTCCAGGTCGCAGGGCCGACCTTGCAGCCGATTCTCGACATGGCGACGGCGTCACTACCCAACGAAGAGCGGCAATCTTTGACTAATAGCGAGCCTAAGGAGCAATCATCAAAGTCCAGCCAGCCGCAGCCGCCAGAACCGCAGGCAGTGCCTCCCGCTCCATCACTCACACCTCCTTCTGATCCATTGCCGGAACATAAAAACAATAATCCTGTGGCTCAAGCCATTCCCGGCAAGCCGATGACTTTATATATTGACCAAAAATCGCTAAGCGAATCACCTCCTCCTCGAACGAAATCGCCATTCCGGGACTCACCCAACATCTTCATCAAGCAAATCAATGATCAGCGACGCCCATTGTATACGCCTGCTGTCTTGCGCTCAGACAGCATCGGCCAAACAACTGGGGGAAGTGAAACATTTGATGTCTACAAACCACCTGAACGCCCTATATTGAAATCAGCTCTTTCTTCATCATCGCTCAGATCGCTCACATCTATCACAGACTATTTTGGGGGGTTTGTCAGAGGCTATGGTGGAAAGCCAGCACAGATAGAAGGGCCCACCCGGAGGCATTGGAAACCCAATAATAGCCGGTTCAGTTGTGCCAAATGCAACAGGATTTTCCACTTCATGACAGACAGCCGCAGAAAACACCATTGCCGCTACTGTGGTGAAATTTTTTGCAACGATTGCTTGAAGAACTTTGTCTATCTAAATGACAACGCGCATTTCACCCTATTCGGTAGCTCCGAAGATCATCTGGATACCAAAGACAAAAAATATCTGTGCAAAGTGTGTCAAAATTGCGCTCAAAAATACGAGGTTTATTTGAAAGAGCACACCACTAAAAATCTGGATCTCGACTCGAATAAAACTACAAACGGCAAAGTCAACACTACAAGAAGGGAAACAATAGCAAACAATCAAAATCCAATGCCTGCTGACTGGGATTGGAGTTCGTTCTGATTATTATACAGAGAATTCAAAAGCGAGCTGCGCTCACTCCTCGTTCTTCTCGTTTCTTTCTCTGTTTTCGCGAATAATCGTGTCTCTCACCAGGCCGATTTTGGACGCACTGGTAGTGTCGTTTTCAGGTTCATATTCGGATCCAGAAGAGGCGAAGTCTGTTTCACTTGAAGAAGAAAGCCCCACAGAGGAGTTGTTGTCATTATCGTTGGAAATGATAGGGACAGATGATGTCAGTTTGGCCTTTAAAGACTCGTTGGCTTGGGCATTTATGCCCGACTGCTCTCTTTCTTGTCTCTTTGCAGCTCTTCTTTTTCTCAGTCTCTGCGTCTTGGCTTCTTCGTACTCGTCCTCAGAATCCATGTTCTCCAGTTGCTCGAGCTGCAGCTTTCTTCTTTCCTGCCGCCTCAGTCTCTTAAGCTCGAGCTTCTTCTCATAGTCATATAAATTGAAGTCTGGGAACAGTTGAGGGCCGTACTCGTTAATAACCTCTGTGATTTCCATTGAAAGTTGTCTTCGCGTTTCACGCAGTTGAGTGAGTCCTTCCTTATTGACCAACGCTAGCCACAATGGTCTAATTGATTTCAGAAGGTCCATGCCCTTGTCGCCGAAAATAAGGGCCGAATACGTGATCATGGCCGAGAATAAGTATATGGAACAGAATATAGTGAATGCCGACCTGTCTGAGAGACCATAGTACTTTCTCATCAGCATCGTTCCCAAGACGGAGTAGAAGATATACAGTAACGGGGCAAATCCAATACTGACCAAGATTTTCCATGTAGCGATAACGTCTCGCGCCATTATTTTCACGGTAGAGGCTGCCAGAGCCTCGCGTCTTTTCTTCTCGCTAATGACCTTTGTAGCAATAAAAACGGGGGAGAAAAGAATCACACCAGGCAAAGCCAGGGCTCCTAGCACAACCAACTGTACAAGCGAGGTAACAAACCGCGTGAAAATGGTCAATGTGTCGTCGTTGCGGTCTCCGTCCACCAAATGATCGGGAATTTTGAAAATCCGCAATTTCTCGTTATACTCAAGAATACTCTTCTTCAGCTCCATAATCCGAGGCTCGTCTTTGTAGTGTAGATACCCCTTGAGTAGCCTCCGGTTCATTTCAATGATACTTTGTAAAGAAAGGTGCTTCGACATGTTGTTGGTGTACAGTCTACGAGCGACCTGGACACAGGTCAGACTCTCGTAGTCTGGGCATGTAACGGTGACTGCTTTCAATCCGCCGGTGATTGTTTCGAGCAGCTCCTTGATGGCATCCTTCGAAGTTTCTGGGTTGGAGTATTTTGCTACCAGTTCGGGGCTGATTTCAATTGGCATTCCAAACTCCACGACCGCACGCGAACGGAATTTGTGTGGATGGAAATAGTTCATTCCGCAGGGAACGATCTTGACGTTGCAGCCTGGATGGGCTTCCATGGCACCCAGAGCCATCACTGCCACACCTGCCTTCAACGGAAGCAGGTCTGGACGGTCGTGAGAGCCACCTTCGGAGAAAAGTCCGAGACAGTGGCCGTGCGCAAGATGCTCAAAAACCTTGTGGTAGACCTCGGACTGGTCGATTCTTGGCGCAGTTTTGAACGCTGTTCCGGACTCGAGCGCTTTTTTCGCCTCATCGGTGGTCTTGGGAGAAGAGAATTTGAACGGTTTTCGCAAATACAGCTCTGTGTCCGAAACTATTTCTCCAACTTCGGCAGTGCCCCACGAACTAGGCAGTGCAATGAGACCCTTGGTTTGGCACACTTTGGTGAACTGGGTGTCCACTCCAAACACATGGAGCTCGTTTTCGGGATCGATCTTGATGGAACCGGCAGCAGGCTTCAGACAGTCCTGAGCACGACGGACAGGAATGGACATCTGGCTTCTACTAATTAGACCGATAAACTTGCGCTTGTGGCTCTTTTCGGCGATCAGAAAGCTAATGCGCCGCCCGGTCTCGTTTTTCACCTGGCCCATGAGCACAATGGGGTCAACAAATTGGTTGGCGTGAGGAGCAGCCACGAAAATTATGGGACCCGACTTGGGCAGACGAAACGCCCCGCGCGGGCGTATCTCGCGGAAAAAGCAGTCGAAGATCACCGTGAACGTCCACAGCACAAGGTCGTACACAAACTTGCGGAACCACGAGGGTTCCTGCCAATCGGAACTGGGAGACATGAGGAGAGCTTCAGTGTGCGAGCAAGAAAAATTAAAATAAAAAAATCACCACAATTACCGTGTCATGGTGATCATCGATACACTTTACAATATTCAATAGAAGCCCGCAGAAATCAATTTTTCCACCCTGATTGTGCTCTGCATGCACTCCCAATTTCGGCTATAATCCAATTTTATTAGCTTGGTCAAATGTCAGTATTACCTCTTTCGGAAAAACACAAACATGGTGAAGCTATTTCATCGCTTACCAACATTTTAGTTCCTCTTGAAAATGCCCGTCGTGAGAGTACTTGGCCCCATGCTTGCCTCAATTGCGCTTTCGTGGGCCTCTGCATCTCTGGCTCTTGCTTTGGTGGTCCTGGCGTACTCTCGATCTGAGCCACTTATCCTCATCACAGCTCTGGAATACGCAGCTGGACTGCTTCAGATTGCTTGTCTGTGGAACAGCAACCACTATCTCAACGGTACATGTGTGCTGGTTAATCTCCTGTCCATCCCTGTTGTGATCTACTGGTTGGAAACCGTGCTCGACGCTCCATCCAAATGCAAACACATAGAGCTTGCCATGCTCACCACATACATTCTATCGTGTCTCTTCAAGCTGACACCTGGCCGTCGGTTGGCCAAACTTCCCGACCCAGAAGCAAACGTCAGAAACAAACACTCTGCACAGACTTTGGTGGACGAGATGGCAGAGAAAGCCTTGGACTTCCACTGTCAGAAATCTCTCGACCCGTTGGTACCAGAGGAATTACACGATCAGCATTCTCAGCAGGACTCAGAAAAATCAGACAAATGTACCGACCACAACATCTCCTCCGAATCTTTCAACTTCCAGTACAAGGCTGACATCCACCTTCAGCAACATCTGGACTCGGAGGTGCCACAAATGCTACCACAGCTAGAAGAAACTCTGGCACCTGTGTCATGTTCCTCTGCAGAGCTCGAAAACATCACAGAAATCCCAAAACCTCACTGGGTTAGTCCGGCAGATCCAGGTCTCAACCACATCTCTCTTGAGGCATGGAATCAGCATTCTCGTCAGTGGCACGAGGAACAGCAGCTCTGGGGAAATAATTTTTTCAAGCGGCCTGACCTCACCAGATCATTCAGCGACCCTTCTTCGGTGCTGACAGAGTACCATTCGCAGGGCACTCAGTCACGGTCCAGATCTTCCACTATCACCAGACATTCGCGTGTATCGCCGTCCAGGTCGATCCGCAAAGCGCCTTCGTTGCACTCGACATCCAGCAGTCCGCTCAAGAGACTGCGCAGTCTCAAATTCAAAAAACCTCTTGGCCATTCCCAATCGCAGCCCGAACTCAACTTCGAGTTCCTCAAATCGCTCCAAACGTCTCCAATCCGCACACACCAGCATCAAAAGACGCTTTCATCAAACTTTAAAACGCCGTGCAACTCGCCGGTCAAATCCGTTGCAGGCGTGTCTCTACGGCTTCTGAACGAAACCCACACCCCAGAGAGCCAGCAAAGTAACCGCTCCAACGAGAGCAGCGTGCCATCCGTGGTGGTCGGGGCTTACGACCGCGAAAAATGGCACGCGATCAAAAACCAGCTCATGCATGAGGCTCAAGCTACCACAGTCCCAAGCGTGGAGGAACGCTCTCCTTTATGGAGCTCTGCATAAGTCCCGGTAATAAGAACATTATTGTGCATATTATTAACTCTATTTTGTACCACGATTCCCGTGCATAACTCCTGCAAGATCTCGTAAAAATTATTGTTGACGTTCCGCCCCAAGGCCGCCGGCCGCGAAATTTTTCGAAATGTTCAAAACTTGAGTATTTTGGAGACTCTTTCCCGTATGGTAGATCCGACAAAAGACGACTCGTCCGCAGGCACGCGAGACATCCGACAGCTGCCAAGAAGAATATATTCCCCCTATGACTCTGCCACTCGACCTCATACAAGTCCGCAGGAAAGTGTGTCGCGTCCGTCCACCCTTCTTCCTCCCTTGACCTCGACGGCGTCCTCCACCTCAGCCAGCTCGCATTTCTACTATCCATCTCGGCAAGGCTCCTTCCAGAGGAGTACCCCACTGTACGCCTCCAGCTATAGCGATTTGCCCCACAGTAAAGGCTACAATTACCGGTCACAAGCTCCACCGTCCCGATTGAGCTCATCCAGAACGTCCGTTTTTCAGACACAGATAAACCCATTGGACTACATGCCGGCCGATCCAGGGGTTGATCTGTCCATCTTTACAGAGGAAGACGCGGTCGTTTTGCGAAATCTTCTTCCGCTGGCAGAGATCCATAAGTGGAAGTTTGTTGCAACCAAACTCTCCAAAAGAAGATCGAAAAAGCTTAATGCTGACTTCTGCATCAAAAAATTCCACGAAATGTTCGATCTCCCGTTCAATCCGGCTCACTCGCTGTTCAATTCCCAATACTTCCTAAGAGCTTCTGCTGGTACAGCGCATTCGAGAAGAAACCTTGAGGGTCTGGTTGGCAGCTCATTGCCGTACATTGTTTCCAAAGACGGTTGGAACAATATTCAATATGACACCTCGCACCGGGCCTCAGCATAAAAAATATATAAGGTATTTTATATATTATTCAATATGCTTAAATTATCGAGAGCCTTAAGCTCAGTGGTATCTGGCACACGCAATTCGCCTAGCTTTAAAACATATTTGAGATTGAAGGATGGCAAAATCGGGTCGTTTTTCCATGACGTCCCATTGGGTCTAGACAAACAAAAGCGTGTCGCTAATATGGTGGTGGAGATCCCAAGATGGGTCAATGCTAAATACGAAATATCCAAAGACTTCACGGCTAATCCTATCGTCCAGGACACTAAAAAAGGCAAGCCAAGATACCTTAACAATATCTATCCGAACCATGGAGTACCTCACAACTACGGCGCCTTTCCGCAAACTTGGGAGTCTCCGTTGGAGTCGTCATCGCTGGTCAATCAAAATATCCTAGGAGACAACGATCCACTCGATGTCATTGATATCGGCCGTTTTGTGTCCACCACGGGGACTGTCAAGCCAGTAAAGATACTCGGCTCACTCGCCTTGGTTGACGACGGCGAGTTAGATTGGAAAGTGGTTGTCATAGACACAGCCGACCCGTTCGCTGTCGAGCTGAATGACATTGAAGACGTGTACGAGAAAATGCCAGGGGTCTTGGAGAACTTGAAAAGATGGTTTGAGGTATACAAGATCCCGACAGGCAAGGAACCAAATTCCTTCCTCTTTGATGGCAATTACAAGGATACCGAGTTCACCCTTAAAGTTGTACAAGAATGCCACGAAAACTGGTACAAGCTAGTCATGGGTGAGTTTCATGGGGACAATCTGCCATCAACAGAGAACGCTACATTGCCGCATACCAATGGCAACACTGTGTTTGATGTCGAAATTGAAGTTTCGCAGCAAGCAGAACAAGTGCCACCAGAAGTGAATGACATGAGCTTCATCAAGTAGCTCTTGTGAACTTGTATATTAAGAAAATGGTACTCCTTGCACCTAGAAGTAAAAAAAAAACCCAAGTAAACAAAAACCGTGCTCAAGAGAAACATTTTCTAGATGGCTGTCAACAAGACGAGCGTTGATATACCTGGATCGACAGTTGATCTAAACTGGACGTTTCAGCACGCATATCTGACACTGCTCAATGGCGCTTCAGATTCTTCTGCTTCGTCATTTTTAGGCAGGTTTCTCGAGCTCAATAAGAAACACCTTTTGGCCAAGAACCTGCCGTTTCAAAACAAAACATCCAAGAGCGCCACAGATGACTTTGAAATTGGGTCACGCATTGTGAAAAATAAACTAACTTCTAAGCAGCAGAAGTGTGTCTCCGAGATCTCAACGGCCCTGCGTCTTGACATCCATGAAGTCGCTCGGATTGTTCAGATCACTACTGAGAGAATCCCCGACGAAAGCGAACTTGATAGCGCGGACAAATCATTATTCCAGCTAACGGAAAGTCATGACGATGCTGCGCTATTATATTCCAATGTGATCAAGGAGTCTAGAGCAGTCTTGAAAACGCTTCTGTATTTAATAAAAAACGAGCATTCCTTGTCTTCCCATCTGCAAGACATTTGCTACGAGATCAAGCAGAATGGCTACGATCTTCTCCAATCCTATATTGAGTCCTTGGTGGAGTGGAACAAAGCACCGATTGAGGTTTCCCAGAAAAGCCTGCAGACTGAGCTGGAACTACTGGCGCTGGATGTGCTGAATCTGATCCTCTACCTTATATTCAAAACTGGCACTGGATTCACCAAAGGTACAGCGATGAAGTGGTTCAGATTAATGAAGGATTCCAATTACTGTGGTCTTTCTCGCATTTGTGAAGATGAAAGCAACGATAGAGTGACGACCTTTGAGGGTCTTTGCACTGTTCTGTCTCTAGTGATGCTGGACCTCGATTTCAATTTTGGAGCGCTAACAGACGAAGATTCATTCACCAATGACCCAGAAATATTACATGCCATTAACGAATGTTTATTGACAAGTCATGCAAATTCCATCGTCTTGTACGCTTGGAGCATCATCTTGCATCGAAAGCATTTGGTGATATCCAACAACCCAACCCATCCAATTAGTCTTGAGTTGATTCAAAAATTTGGCGGGCTTGAAAATCTGCAAAAGATTTACTTGACGTGCGCTAAAAGAGCCGAGGAACTTGACGTATGTGCTTCCATGATCAGATGTCATGAAATACTATCGTACGATAGTCTTTACGATGCCATTTTGGCGGCCTTCGTTGTTGCCTTTGTTCCCTACATCCAGCTTAACGAGAACATCACTCTTGCGATCAGAAAGATAATGACTAATGCCCCCGACAGAATAGTCGAGAGATTTTTCCTCAACCCGGCTACAGAAGACTTGATGGCCATTGCTCGAGCCAAGCTGCCTTTATCAATCAAGTCCTTTATTCGTCTTGTCGGAATAAATTCGAACCTGGCTTATGAAGAGCTCGCTAATCTCAAGTCCTATATGGAGGTGTTCAAGGAAGAGGACTTTTATTACAAGTATCTCATAGATGACGAAAATCCCCAATTAATCAAGCTTACTCAAGATGTTGATGTCCTGCCCC